CGCGGGTATGCACGAAAAGATTATGTGGGAGTCTTTTTGGCGCTTATTGTAAAACATGCAAACTTTGTTTAGAGAAACATGTATATCACAGAGTCTTACTAGGACTTACACAAATCAAGGTTTTTGCCTCGATTTTCCCATCAATAAACCCTGCAATGGCTATATCGGAGCAATCCTTTTCCGAGAAAAGCGTTGTGATAACAGATTTTTTTTGCCTGATTCATCCCAGTTTACTTTCGTAACAGCTACACAGAGTTTCCACCTTCTCGGAAAAAACGTAATTGATATGTACTTACCACATCAAAAACGGACATACTACCCGACTTTGCGGCCAATACTTCTGAACAGCTGCCGCGATGCCCTGTGTTCTGTAAGACAATCAGGGCACCGATAGTATTGCTGCATAAGAACCTTAAAACTTTTCGTTTACGCCCAAAAAACTAGCGTGCGTATGCGCGGGTACAGGAAAATGCTAAATGGAAGTCAGGGCGTGCATACGTGCGTATGCACAAGGTCGTCAACGTGTTAAAGGCAGTGTCCGGGCAAGTTGGGGTTTTGGGATTTCAGTGCCAGCGAAAGTGGCCCTCCTTGGACACAACATCGCGCAAGTGCGAGGCCTTAACACTCGACCTAAAGCAAGAAAAACTACCAGAAAGTGCGGAAACTTACGCCTTTGGACGGGGTCCTCCGACCTGTCCGAATTCCTCTTTGACTCAGAGTACGCATGCCGCCACAGTCAAAACCGTAGGGCCCCGCAAGGACTCTGCGTCTCTGTCCGGCGGCGACCGTCGAATTTGTATGGCTTTGGAAAACGCATGTTCTCGCCGTTTTCGCGCCATCCAATGTGGATTTTCGGATTTAGCATTGCGGATAACTCCCGGTAAGTGGATTTTTTAGAAATCGAGTTTCTGCCCGGACACTGCCTTTAACACATTCACGACAAGGCCGATTTCTCGATTACTGCCGTTTCGGACCAGAGCCTTTTTCGCTTTGTCAAACTTACGACCCACCCGTGGGTCGACCCCACAAGGGCCATCGAAGGCGCTGATTACCGAAATATGATTTATTTTAGTTTTTGGCGGTATACGGTAAGGTTACGGTAGTCATTCTGTACGAACCCAATATCATGGATTTTCATGAAAAATCTTGTTTTGGGGTTGTTTTACGTGCTGATCGATTATAATGTCGACTTTGTTCACTACTTCCCCACAGTGGGATTACGGTAGCAGTACGGCAGAATTTTCGTAAGAATCAAGAAGCTGATGTAAGAAGGCGGTATTAGAACATGAGAATATCATTTTCGTAATCAGCATGAGAAAAAAAAACCTATATATATAAGGCATGAGCTTCCTGGGATGAACAATGCGAAAAACCAATAAAATTAATAAAATCGATAATTTTTGATGGGCTGACATCAGTCTCGTGCACTCCTTGTATTTATTTCTCGTGCATGTAAACTTGAATTATCAAAAAGAGCGCCACTCTGCGAAAAATTTGAGCTAAGTCTGCGCCTTACCTCTATCTACGGTATACCTACCGTAACATTACATTACAGTATCCCGAACCCGGACCACTCTGGCTGGAGCTTCGCCAAGGTGCCCTCAGTCATATGCCAGAACCCGTAGAATTCATCGTATACTGGCAAAGCTGGAGCTTCAGGAATCTTACGACCCATTCGTGGGTCGTATTGTCCGAAACGGCAGAACACGTACGACCCAACGGTGGGTCGTATCAACTCCCAGCCGCGTAGGTGAACTCTGCAAAAAATTGATATCGATCGATGACGAAAAGTAGCCTATGACACCCGCCGGGGCCCGAAGTGTATGTGTGCCAAGTTTGGTCCGGATCGGTTCAGAAATGAAATATTCTATTCGGAACATACGTACATACAGTATACTTTGGACCGAATCGAATGATTATTCGATTATTCGAATAAATCATTCGAATGCGAATGATTCGAAAATTCGAATATTCGAAAATCTGAGATTTCGAATAATATTCGACAGTCGAATATTCGAAAATTTTCATTTTCGAATATTATTCGAGAGTCGAATATTCGAAATTCTCAACTTTCGAATATTATTCGATAGTCGAATATTCGATGGTCATTAATTCGATCATTCGATGTCCATGGAATATCCGAATATTCGACGAGCACCGAATATTCGAAAATTCGATAAGAATTGACTATTCGAAAATTCGGAGCATCGAATATTCGGAAATTCGATATCCACAACATATACGGGGTATCCCAAGGGTATCTACAAATCGCTAATACCTCTCACAAAGTCTTTTGCCAACCTTTAAGTAACATACTGTAGAGATGGCTTCAGCTTACAAATACAGCAGAAAGCAAATCACCTATGTTTTTCTAGTTGTGTTATCACGGTATGAACTAAGCATATAGAGCAACTGCGAAATGAGACATCCAAAAGAGTTTGCCCAACAAGAAAGAGATTTCAAATCTCTGTAGCAGGATTTTACGTATGTTTAACTACGCACGGGCTTTCAAGCCTTTTAAATGTGCATTTTCTTTTTTGAAAACGTTGGAAAACATCTGTTATGGTGTACCTGGCATATGTTGCAAAAGGCGTTACGGTGAGTGCAAATTCTTTATACAGTGAGTGTCTTTAGAAGCCTAGTGTAAGATCGGCCTTTTTGTTTCTCATTCTTGGGTAAACGGCTCTTGATATCTCAAAACCCTCCTCGGTTTTCCTACGGTAATTTACAACAGTGAAAAGCGATCGATACATCGCTTCATACTGTAAGTTTAGGTTGATGTCAGCCCACATCACCTACTGTTGGGACCCCTGTATGTCAGTCCACAACTCTCAATGAGGATAAATAATCTTCTTTGATTTTTGAAATTCCTTTACAACCGTCACGTACGCTTTTAGGTTCTTAAAAGTAGCGTCCCAAAAGATGGGTCCGGGAATTTGTGGCGATGTTAAATTGGACCCCCTACCTAAGCGGTGACGAAGTTCGGAGCGAAAAAGAGGGTCTAGTAAGCTTGAAAATTGCTCCCAAAGTGGCACGTCTTACGGCAGTCCCGAATGTCGCCCGTACAGCGAATTCGAATTGCAAGGCCAGAGAACGCATAGCGCACACAGTCATGAGTGCAGGGTCCCGCAACGACTCTGCGCCTCTACCCTGCATGCATCTCGTACTCACGAGCCTACCGTAAGATCCGGGCCACTTTCGAGGCAAATTTTAGGCCTCAGTCATCGCTTAGGTGGGGGGGACTACTTTAAAGGCAGCGTCCAGGCAGATCTGGACGTATGGGGCTTTTACGTGGAAAGTACTTTTGGGGCCCTAACTAAGGCACTGCCCAAGCGGCAGCTCAGGTAGTGCTATAACGGCTGAGGTATTCCCCTCGAAACTGGACCCCGCGACCGTGTTTCGCCTGGATCCATGGCGCAAAGCGTGGATTCTGGCGCGAAACTGCCATGAATCCATGCGAATACGTTCGCGGGGGCCATTTCCGACGGAAATATCTCAGCCATTGGAGCACTACCTGAGCTGCCGCTTGGGCAGTGCCTTAGTTAGGGCCCCAAAAGTACTTTCCACGTAAAAGCCCCATAGGTCCAGATCTGCCTGGACGCTGCCTTTAACATCGCCACAATCCGGCACCCATCTTCTTGCCGGGGCTGCAACTGAACCGTTTTTTCGTTGTAAAACATAAAAAAATGTCTATACCTGAAAAAATTTCTTAATTGGGATGTTTTGGTCTCTCACAGGTAGTCTCACTGACATAATTTATTCGCATAGTATTCGAAAATCGAATGTTATTCGGGAACCGAATAATATTCGAAATTCGAATATCGAATGTTATTCGATATTCGAATATCATTCGATTCGAAAACTTCCATTTTCGAATAATATTCGATAGTCGAATATTCGAAAATTACGACTTTCGAATAAAATTCGATAGTCGAATATTCGAAGTTTTCAATTTTCGAATAATATTCGATAGTCGAATATTCGAAAATTTCGATTTTCGAATATTATTCGATATTCGAATATTCGAAAAAAATTTCGAATTTCCCAAAGTATAACATACAGACAGACATACATACAAACAGACATTCAGCTTCATATATAAGATACTCCCTGTTATTGGAATTACGAAAGTCTGGTAGACCAAGCAATGAATTGGTGTGATATCGCAGCTGGCGGTGTTGTGCAAAATGATGCAGTAATCATGTGAGCACCTCAACGCTATCGAGTTTGCGAGCAAACTATGACTTTAGGCCCACGATCTGAAAATCATTATTTTTTGCAAAAAATCTGCATAAACCTTCGTTAAAATCTAGAATTTGTTAGGTTGTCAATTTCTGTTACACTTTTGTCTTCATTTCTTAAAAATCTAGGAAACTTTTAATTTTTATGTTCAATGAATCTTGACGAGGTGCAAGATCTATCAATACGTCAGATCCGTGGTCCGTGCGCAAAACACCCACTTGGTGTTTTGGTGGGGTATAAGTTTTATGGTGGGAGTAAGTTTTATGGACATTTTTGTCAACGGGCAAACATTCTTCCAGGCTATAAGGGGAAGAGCGGGCAATGTGGTATTCGGGCAGGCTATGGTCCGTAGTTTTTCTTAGTAAATATAGAAGAATGGCACAATCTTGTCCGCACACGTTCAAGTTAGTTACATGGTACGCCATGTCAGCGCACATTCGTAATTCAACATGAAAAACAAATTATAAAACTTGCAAAAGTTATCCATCTTCTCCGCATCAAATCCTACACGACGCACATTTTCAGTTTTTGATAAGCTAGCGGCACCAAAGTGCTGCCATAAAAGGGATAGTGCGAAAGTATGCTTTAAGAAAATCGCAGGAGAAAAAACGACTAGACGTAGAGGAAAAGATCAAAGAAAAAATAACAATTTGGAGTGTACCTACAAGGTTGTCGTAAACGTGCTAGCTATTTGTGATTTGCGGCATCAGTCATGCTGTTTTGACGCCCTGTCGTGCCCTACATGGAGCAAATTCGAAGGTTAGAGAAAGCTTCCGGATTTTTTCAGAATTTTACAAATAAAGTGTAACAGAAGTTGTCCAAAGACAGAAGTAAGACACCTTAGATTGCCATAATGTCACTTCTGTCAAGTAAATGATGTGCGAAGGATCAGATTGTTGATTAGAGGCTACATATCTCTCCCACCGTTAACACTGAACATAAAAACAACAGGACTCCACTTTATTAAATTACATTGTCATTACAAAAACACCACACAGATCTATTTACAGAACGGATTGATGCATAGAATATTATTAAATGAAATCATTTGAGTTAACATATGCTACAGATCAATTTGATTTCAGTAGAGATCGAAGAGAAAAAAAGCATTTGCAAGCAACTGGGATTGAGTAACTGGCACCGCTCCAAAACAAAGCCTATGGCTCAAAAAAGCGGAATATTGGTCTAAATGCTTTCAACAGATAGGTACTCCCTAAGTAGCGATTGCATGTCCATTTATGGAATTCCCTTCCATATCGAAGGACATTCCTTCATCGTTATGGAGCTCCTCTTCAAACAAAGCCGCATCACAGGCATTGGTAATGATAAAGTTGCCCATCCAAGGTTCGCCTTCATTGACTGACTTGTTCAAATCCGCAGACTGCGCCCTTTCTTGTATCAATGTCAGTGTCTAAAAATTTTCCGTGTTTGATACATTGTTTCAAAGATACACTGGAAATGAATGCAGTTTAACCTACATTTTCGTTACACATATACAGTGTTACAGCCAATGCATTGGCAATGTTTACGTGTTTGCCGGAAGCACCCATTCTACGAGGCAGACATTGCATTACTGAGGAAAACGTATGTAGACCTGTAAAGAGGTTGTTTATTGAGAATCATGTAAATGTAGCTTCAAAACTAAGGGTCCCTTGTTGGATCTATCAAGAATCTCAGAAAGCAAAATCCCGGACTATCGCTTATCATAAAGCGAGTTGAGTTTCAGACCAGTCCGGGGCATCAATGGTAAATTTTGCAAACAAAAAAACTGGGAAATCATTGAAAAAAATCGCGTTCCTCGCACTGCAAACTTTACATTGATAAAAGTACGATGCAGTGAAAAGAATTCAGTACTGTATGCTTCCATGAAATACAAGATTATCCCTCAAAAAATTCTCTCACCATTCATTAACACAAAAACTACACTCAATTGTATTACCTTGAACTCTGAAATCAGACTGCCGAACTTCGGCTGCAAACTGGCGCATACTTTCCTCCACTCCCTTATTGGTGGAATCTTTACGATTACTCGACAACTCTTCAGCATCAATCATTCCCTCCAAGTTGCGATATGTAACTGCATCGAGCACATCGATAGGATCTAAAAGTATATTTTATGTACTATGAAAACCCCATTTGATAAACTAATGATGTCTGTTTCGGCAACAATGTGTGGATAGATTTCTGATTCAAAGTATAAAAACTATACTGTCACACTGGTGACAACTGCAATCGTTGTATTATAATGCTGTCAATAGACGAGCTCATAAGTTTTTTTGCGATTCTCGTATTGCTGAACGCTGCATAATTTAGACATGTATCAAAAAAAGGATATTTTTGCATTTTTTGAAAAAAAAACTATGCAAAATCGCCCGATTCATGTGATATCCTGGCCATATCTCGCAGAGTAGACGACTTTTTAATCCAAAGTACCATTCGACTCAGCTCGGCGACGCATCTTTTGATATATAGAAATACCCGCTTGGATTAATAGGAGGCCAGATTCCACGAATCATTTCAATTTTTGCTTACGCTAACTCAATGTGCTTATTCGGTGCACTTGCTGAGCAACCTACCGTAAGCAAAAATCTAAAATAATTCGTGGAATCTGGCCTCCTATTAGTCCAAACAGGCCCTTCTATGTATTGTAATTGTAATATAATATCAGAAGGTGCGCCGCGCCGAGCTGAGTGGAATGATGCCCTTGGATTGAGAATTTGTCCACTCTGAAGCAAGACATGGCCACGCTACGGTGATGTTACCTGAATCGGGCGATCTTGCGTCGTTTTTTCAAAAAAAAAAAACGAGCGATGTTGTAGCTGATCTGGCAGATAGCCAGTCCCAACTCACCCAAAGAAGTGATATCCATCGGATTGTTCTCCTCCAAAATTTTTTCTGCAACTGGTCCTAAGCTAGAGTCGAGTGACCGATCCAACTTCTTGTAGTAAATTTCAGCTGGATCCAATGATACAGAGTCATCCAGCTTGTGTCGTTCCTCTAATCTCCGACGCGCTAGTAAGGCACGTCTAGTGTAAAGCACCTTGTCGTAAGCAAGCTGAAATTGCTATGTCGAGTTTGTGTGGATGCTGGTCACTCCAACTGACCAAGGGGTTTGACAAGATTGACTTCATCACACGCTTCATCCTAGCTGTATTCAGGTGATACGAGGATACACGACATGAAAAGTCCATGATCTAAACAAACGCCATAAATAAAACGCTAACCTACCGCTAGGTTGATAGAGAACTCACACTGATGGTATAGCCTTCTTCCTTTTTAGGCCCTAATGCGTCGATAGCTTCAAATTCGGCGAAAACAGCTGCAGTTTGTTCTTCTTTAGTCATGGAGTAGAAGTCTTTTTTGGGCACGATATTCTAAATAGTTCTGAATCATCGAAATTCGTTGTTTTAAAGTGTATTTTCGCAAGAATACTCTGACAAGAATGTAGAAGGAAGTAGTTATAATCCAAAATCGACCGCAAAACTGCTACATTTCATTTAGATAACAAAAATTGCACAGATTCATTTTTTTCTTGATATAACTGATAAGAAATTTTTTCTATGTTATCTTCATAAACTTGAGATATTAGAAAATCAACAAGGCAGAAGTCAGAAAACACAGACCTTGATATCAATTCCAATTGCCTTATACTCGTCGGGACGTATATCATTGAAGCGATCACGTCTTGTAGTATACCCGCTTGAGAAAAAAGAAGCAGAAGAATCATCAAAACTAAATTGGTTGCTATCTTGATGCAAAGCACTTTCATTTCCATTATGTGAACGGCGTGTCGAAGGATCCTGCTCATTAGATGCTCTGTCGTCATCGTTATCGTTTTCTCTAGATAAAATGAAGTTGTGGGTATGCAAAGTACAGGGAAATTGCTCACTCATCAAGAAAAACACGAAATCCTCCAAAAGTAGCCAGCCATTCATCGTAGATGTCTAGTTCAGTGTCGGATGTTTCAGTATCGTTTTTGCGCTTGAAATCTGCGGCGGTAGCCTTCCTCAGAACACCCATGAATACGTTATCTGCGCGACTGTCCAAATCTCCAGGTTCGAAGTATAAATTGGGATATCGACCCTAACAGAAATCAAAATAAAAAAAATCATAAGCAGGCAAACACTCTGGTTTCCAACCTTCCGCAGCAGTCCCGGTTTGATAAAGTCTTCAAACTTATACTGGTTGATAGGTCGTCGGGCAAAAGGCTTTCGACGGGTGAAGATCACATCTTCACTGCGAACAAGTGTCCGCGGGTCCACAATTTTGAAGCGTTCCTTCAGGGAAACGCTATGGTGCTGCGGCATTTTTGTGAAGTACCTTGAGTAACAAAAATTAGAAAGAAATCAAAATCAGAAGATAAGCTAGCAAATTCGCAAAGGAAAAATAATCACTCAAGTTCAGTTTCTTCAATTTTGACATCTGGCTCCAACTTCACCTTCTTTTCTTTTTTCTTCGGAGGTTCTTCCACGTGTTCTGGCTCAAGCTTGTCTGAGAAAATTGTTTGTGACATTTTACCAAACGTGACTGCTCTTACTTTTCCCCTTCAGTGCTTCAGGTTCTTCCGAATTATTGTGAGTCGGGTTGTCCTTGTTGACCGTCTCTGGGGTTGAGGATGCCTCATCTTCAAAGCCGCCATCGTCTTCGTTTTCAGGATAACCAATGTCGTCCGCGAAATCTTCGCCACTGATAGATGGAACATCACTGCAATATTGGTGTTGTAAAAGTTGCCACAAAAGCTGGTGTAGAACTACGGATCCTCAATCTTGGGTCCGTTTGACGGCTTTCTGCAAGGTAATAAATGTAATCTGTCAGAAATCTGCTAGACCTAGACGCAAGTAGCATAGCCAGTATGATAATCCCCCAAATCAGCGCTTATCAAACAAACACTTTTAATCGAGAATGGAAACACACTCACGCCACATGTTCTTGTTCTCCTTCATTGACAACTTCTTCATCTTCGTCATGATGATTTTCATCCGCTGTAGAGGTATCTGGAGCAGGTTCCAGGTTTGCGGCGACAGGATCGGTGGATACCCTTGGCATGACAGCACGCTGAATGAGTTTGGGAAGAGCTCTGCTTTGTCGTAGTTCAGCTTCTTCCTCTCGATTCAGTCGTGTCGAGAAGTATGAAACCGCTTCATTGACCCGCTCCGTCCAATTTCTTCGTTCGAGAGAATTAGAGTCATCACTGGTGTTGTAGTACCATGAATCCGAAGAAATTTTCTTCACTGCCTCACGGATATCGTTCCTGAGTTGCAGCAACGCACCTTCCCTGTAATAAATACTATAACATCTCCAAGGAACAGAATCTGTTCACATGGCTCTCTCACCCTTAATAGGAATAGATAAGACTTCTCAGAGTCTTGAGCCCGGCTATTAAACGCAGACTCCTCTACAGCGTTTTGACTTCCCTATTTACATATCATATGATAAGTCTCAAAATTTCCTCGCTGATTTTAGACATGCAGCCCTATGGATAGATATCCATTGATTCAACGGGATTGGCGGGTGGGAGGCGAACGCTCTCAGACAATCGACCGGACCCCTCCGCCGGACAGTCCGAATCTGCCAGAGTCGCGCCGGACCCAGTTGACCAATGAGAGCGGGGCAAATGGGCGGTCGTCCGTCGCGGTGACATCACTGGCAGGCAAATGGGACGCTTCTCCGGCCCTGCTGCAAAGGTACGCCATTTCTCCGGCGCGGCCCTGCCAGATTTGGCAGAGCCGCGCCGGAGAAATTTGCCCGGCGCGAGTCCGTCAGATTTGGAAGAGCCGCGCCGCAGAAAATGGGAGGGGTCCGGAGCACAAATGGGAGGTCTCCGGGGCAGAAAATGGGAGGTAGGAGCAGAAAATGGGAGGTATCCGGAGCAGAAAATGGGAGGTATCCGGAGCAGAAAATGGGAGGTCTCCGGAGCAGAAAATGGGAGGTGTCCGGAGCAGAAATGGGAGGGCTCCGGCGGACGAGTGGCAGACCCACCGCTGGGGAAACGCCGCGACCCTGCCATTTCTCCGGCGGAGGGGTCCTATCCGCTGTCTGAGCTCGCGCCTGCGATGCCATCCGCATCTCTCCCCGCGTACTCTCTGACCTTTCTCTAGCCTTTATTAAGCCTCCAAGCATCTCCTTTCAGCCGCCAATCCCACTAAATTAAAAGGTATTCCGAAACTATGTTCAAATCGACATATACCAATACGGCATCATGGCTGACAAATTGAAATCTGATTCGGAAAAATTCTCGAAATTACAGATACAAAAAATACAAGCGGATAGGTTATACTGAAGAGCGCAGCTCCGCGGCATGCCATAAAGGTGTACATCACCGAATATAACCTAGATTATGGTGGTAAGTCACAATCCTTCGAAAATCACTAGAGCACTAGCTTATCGCCGCGACAGTTTCGGATCGGCATAAGTACTAGAACAACCTACACATAAAGACATCGCCCCAGTAGAATGATGAGTATCGGCATTTCAAAGCGTTGCAGTGGCAGGCATCCCAACTAATCTATCAGTGAAGTCTCGAGCGAAAAAGGGCATCTGGGAAGCCTGAAATCCACGCTGAGTCTTACTCTGGCCCGCCCCTTCGTTCCGGCCCCGCCCACTTACACGTATTTTGCAGCGTGCGAACATGGAGAGCTTTAAAAAAGCTCATTTTTTGCCATTTTCGTGCATTGCAAAGCCCGGATATCAGCATGTCGAGAAAGCTCCGGAAAGGTGAGAAACCGGAGAACGAAAATTTGCCGCACTCCCGGTAAGACTTGCATCAGTGCCTATGGGATACCCGAAACACCCGAAGTGCAGGACTCATTCACTCAGTGTGATGGAAATCATGCCACTTTCTGCACACTATGAAGTTCGACCCTGATTTTCCAGAATTCAGAGTGACACTTCCATTCATGGCAAATAGTTACTGAGACAGTTTCTTCTCCAAGCAATCTCACTTTTTTGTGAAAACCATAACAAATGAAGGCTTAGCGACTCACAGTCTGGGGTAATCGCGACATTGGAAGTATCGATCCAAGTATGTTGTTGTTGTCTTTTCCAGAGACCAAGGATCAAGCTGATACGACTTCTAAGAAAATTTATTGATAAATGTACCACATCTTTGTAAAGCTCACTTACCGGAACTCGTCCGCTATCTCGGATTCCTCGATACCGGCCAGGACGGAAACATTTTTGCTTTAGTATAGCTACCTCTTCGGGGGACTTCCCAACACCAATACGTTCCGCTTTTCTGGAAGCATGTGAAGTTGTGATCACAAGTAGGGCGTACAAAGTAAAACATGGTGGAAGTGGTGAAGGGGAAGAAAAGCGAAGTGTTAGTCTATAATTGCTTATTCGCTTCTCTCTTCGTCTTTCAGAATTCATCTAGCATACTGCCATTTCAACAGCGAAATTATATGAATGAAGCCGTGTCAGCAAGCACTGCGCGAACAAACAACTATGGGCATTTCCGTATACAGTATGTGGCAGTAACTGAGTACCACATGCAAGCTTCCGTCAAAGGCGAGAAACTCGGAATCTATACCTTTGACAGAGGAACCAAATGTTGCAAATACTTGTGCTAACCTCAAACTTTCATGCGCCTGCTCCACTGACACTTTAAATTTGAATATCTCCATATGATACGAAGCATCCAGATAGTGAAGATATTTGTGAAACCCGCGCTTCTGAACAACCAATATGCTCTCAGATATGACAGAGATAAACAGTAACTTACGAGGAGATGTAGAATTTTCCCAAATAAAATGTCATCCTTGACGCGTAGCTCGACTGCATTTTGCCCTGTACCCCAAAACTCAGCAGCTTCATTTTTTTGTCTATGTGGACTTGACGAGTCAGACTGCTCAACGAATCGTTCCTGGAGGATTTCGGGGAAAGATTTCTGTTTGAGAAAGCCAACTGATTCCAGGAAACGAGTTGTCTTCCAATCAACAACTTCGTGGTCTTCTATCTGGGCCTCATCAGCAGCTCTATTGAGAGCATTACTCCACTCAACGCATTCTACGGCAGCATCGCTGCAGCAAGATCGAGCCTGTTTCCGAAGCTCATCACGAAGGCCTTCGAAGTCTTGAGCGTGTTCTCGATGTTTCGCTAAGAGGTGGTCCAACAGACTTTCACCATGATATACACTTTCGTTCAGCTCTTCAAATCCCTGATCAGCGCTGAGATTCATGGATCCGCGAGCAGAAGAACTTTCCTGTTCCTAAACTGCTCATTTTAGATCATCACACTGACTGTTGAGATACAATAAGGTAAAGAAACAGTCGACAGAGACTGACAATGACGAAAAGTTCCGTGAAAGTGATGCAACTGAATAATTAGTTTTCGAGCTCTTATTCCATTACTTCCTTCCCTTAAAAAAAGCTACTTACCATGTTTTGGCTACCTATCTTTGCCCAAGTGCCTTCAAGTACACGTTCTAAACTTTCCAGATCCTCATCATGATCTTCCTGCACAATCTCGATATTTTCTTTGAGGTAAAACTGAAATAAAAACGAGATTAAAACATAAAAAAAATTAGCTTCTGACTATTAATGTTACTACGCACATCTGAGGCCCTTCTGTTCCTTGGATTGGCATATTTGTTGAGTGGAACACGTATGAGAGGAGCAAGTCTTGGAAGAGTAGTACCCTTCGGTGGTTTCTTGAAAGTATACAGGGTCCTGTCTGCGTTCTTCTCAATGAATGAATAAGTTTCGCTTGGATCATCAGCACCTTAGAGGACAATTCTTTGTCACATGAGAGTGAATGGACTTTGAAGACATACTTTCTTGATCAGGGTCGAACTGATGGTAGAACGGTCTTTCCTGGAATACATATCCAGTCATATCACCAGTTCTCAGGTATTGCCCTGTTCTATAGAACTGAGGATTATCCTCAAGCAGATAATGCTCCCAGGTCGTAGGTTGTTCACAGAGGCAATTTGCAAGTATGTCTGGAAGACAAAGACGTCATACTTTATCACGGTATTAAACCTAGATGCAAATGAATAATTAAGTTTCAGCCTTACCTCTGTTCTGCTTCACCACGGAGATATTTACATCTTTGGCAGATTTAGAAGATATGGCTTTCCTAGTAGAAGCATCATGGAGCATGATTGAAGTACCGTTGCTGCCTTTTCGTAAACGAAAGGTCGCTAAGGAATCAAAACGATCCGACTCGACCTTCGCTGTGGCCTAAACTATCAAAATAGAAACAATGACTTCAAAAACGTGCAAACCACTCACATCCTCAAACCCAGTATAGAAAGGACAGTAATCCAGTGTAATGATTTTCTTCCACGCCATGAGCTTCTTCCTCTTGAACAGCATGAGATAAATGCAAAAATGCGACTTAATTAAACTTACTTTCTTCGTTTTTCTAACATCAACCCTCCTGGATTCAATATGATCAAGAAGATCTTCGGAAAATTCCCAATGTTCTGAAAAGCTGCCCTGCACGGGAAACTTCAGTCCAAACGTGTAGTCGAATGTATCTGGTTCTGAAATTGTACAAGTGTGGCTTTGCGAAAATAAAAAGAATTAGCAATTGGACTACAAAACCACACCTATCGTTCGCATCCATAATGGTTGTTCAACTTCTTCGTTTCCCTCGTTTGCCTTCTGGGCGTCTGCTTCTTCTGAATGGAACTCAGATCAAAAAATCCTCTACTCGCATCTTTATCCATATGGCATTCAGACCAACTGTTTATCACACTTACTGCCTTTTGATAATCTTTTGTTGATGCCTACAATTATTTGAGGAGTGATGGATGCATGTTTTGCAAAGCTCCGTTCTTGTACATACTATAACCTTCACTTGATGTAATCAAAAAAGAAAATACCAACTGCCAGGTTTCTCCAAGCCAGCACACGCTTGTACTGACCAGGTAACTCGGATACCAATTAGAAAATAAGAAGGCAATGCGAAATTCTTTCTCAAAACTTTGGAATTGTCGCTTGAAAAATGCGATATTTGGTAATGTGGGTGAAGGTTGACCGTGTGGCCGAGGTCGTAAAAACAGTCACATTCACTACTTCGTAAGTACATAAAGCGTGGATTTGGCATCACAAATTTTTCATTTTTCACAATCCACTGTGTAACTTAGTTTTTGACTTCTACAGAGGGTTTGCGTCCCACGTGTGAGCTGCATCTTCGAACTTTTGCAGCTGGTCAAACAACGCAGTCTCCAGAACGGCGCTTAGATGCAATTTTAGCCCGCAAAATTTGTGTTGCCACTATAGGCAAGTAACGGGAACATTTACATGACAGCAAGCTACACCAAAGGTACGATCTCCCTCTCTCAGCCAATGGTGGAGAATCTGACTCACTACGTGAATTGAGAGGCGCGAAGTAGGTGTGCGGTAGGTGCGAAAACTTGGCCCCTCCAACTTTGTGATGATAAGTACGATAAGTAGACTACGATTACGCATTAGCGTTCACTTAGAGTAATCCGTTTCCTTAGAATCTGAAATTTGGAAAATAAAAAATTGATGCGATTGTACTTCTTTAGATTCTTTTTCTTTGTAAACACAGTGCGCAATGGCGCGCATCTTAATAAAGCTCTTGCCCATACGTTCAGGTTCAAACTCATTTCAGAAAAAATCTTCGACTTTTCGTGCTCTCCAGGCTGATCAGAGGGAAGGAGCCCAAATGAGCGGAATTTTTATTCGGAGATTTGCCCGAATACAGTTTGCCGCAATTGGGATCAGGCCGAACCGTCAGCGTGGTTTGCGCGCTCGCAACGCTAGGCGTTTGCGCTGCATATGCGCGCTGGCGGAGAGAGCGAGAAGATCGAAGAGGGAGCAGACAAGCAGGCCGTGGGCGTGACCGCGAAACCCTAGCGACGCAGACTCCCGCCATGCCAATTTTGGCCTGATTGGGATTGGGGCAGACTGTATCTTTCTTAAGATCTAGAAGAGCGCAAAAATTCTGCGGCACCAATACAATCCTTTATCCACCATGCTTCGTATTCAAGTGCCCTTTTCGAGAGTTATTGGGTTAAATTCTATCATCGGCTCCAAGATTCGTGTGGAGGCGGGTTGCGGACTTCCCTAATTTTCAGGATAAAGTTATTAAACGTCCACGTTATAGCATTGCATATCGTACTCTCTCGTTAAGCTTATCTTTAAAATCAGGAAAGTCCGCAACCCGCCTCCACACGAATCTGAGAGCCGATCATAAATTCTTATTCCTTCGGTTAACTTTCATAGAAGTCACAGAAACCTCGCCGAGACATTCTTGAAGATACATTTCTCTTTTCAGGTTCGGAATCCAAACAAAGTAATAGGTCGAGAACGAAAGGAGTTTGGAAATAGATACAAATGACAGAATCTCCAGCGCCATCCACTGATTAGGCAATTTCGTAGATTAAAGCTAGAGAAACCACTAAAATGAAATGCAAATTTTCTTGAGCCTCCTAGAAATTGCGGAACTTTCTCACAATCAAGAATGCCAACATAGAGGCTTTGACCGACCTGTATTCATCGACAAACCCTGAGGATAGACCTTACCCTCAGGGGTAGGGTTTACCCCGAAAAGCGATCGACAGGTATCGACCAACAAACCTCGACATTAAATTCTAATCTTGAGGGCAAATCTTACCCCAGAGGCGATTAACTCGTATTCGCGAACGTGGCTCATCAAGGTGAATTCAACCCTAGCATAGAGCAAGATTAGATTCATTCTAACACTTCGTACAGAAATCAGGTGATCTCTCAATGCACAACTCAGTCTTAGCGATACTGTTTTGACAGTAAACACATATTCATGTTTACTAATATCTCAAACTTCCTATGGATTCCTTTTGTGTTTTCGTTTGATGTTATCATCCAGTTTATATTCAACCGAGTTGGTATGGCAGACAACAAGCTCAATAACTCGAAGAATTTTTGTAATATGGATTTACAAAAATCAATTTCAATCAATTTCCCTCATTCAAATTCTAGTCCACCAAGATGCTCATTCACTAAATTATTTGATGCATGACCACACAATAGTAGCTCAACAGCTCAATAGCTCAAGAGACAATAAAATTTGAAATATGTGTATGTTGTCAAAACAGCATCGTTAAGACTGACTGGTGCATTAAGAGATCATTTTGTGTTTATACTGTGAATTGAGATAAATTCGACCTTGCTCGCGTTGATTTTACCCTGATAAGCCACGTCCTTAAGGTTATTGAGGTAGAGCTGAGGTAAAGCCTCCTGAGGTAAAGCTTACTCTCAAGTGTAACATTTACCCTCCGGGTTCGATGATGAATACGCCCATTGGAGAAAAACCCCTGAAAAAAAATAGCATAGCATTGAAAGCCGCGAAAATTCTTCATCAACAACATGCTTGTTTTGCTGCTGCGATTTTTGAGGAAAAACTGATGCATCTGTTAGCGAATGTTTGCAAAATTTCTGTTGATAGCCCCGGGTGCAATATAGTGCAATCAATTTCCGAAAAATCGCCTGTTAGTTTCATATCATCTATTCTAAGACTAGGAGACGCGTAGCTGCATTGCGGACATCATCTTAACATGTTTGAGTCTGTTCTTCCCTGTTTCCTAAAAGTGAATAAACCTGGACGAGATAAATGACAAGTATAAACCTGCTAAGTACACGATTAAGCTTGTTTAGACAATGTGTGCAATGCGGTCTCGCGTCTCCTAGTCGTAAAATGAATGGTAACTAAGAACTGACGTCTATGGGCCACAAAATCACGAACGTCAAATTTGTTGATGCAATATGCGCTGCTGGGAGTTTGCGTTGAATATATCAATTCCGTAAAATAGAGTTTGTTTAACTAAAGGACAGATAGGTACACTGGAATGCCGCGCAAACCTATTATGCAGCATCTACGAAGAGCTTTTATCTAAATCACCAGATTTCCGAAAATCAGATTGTTTCAACTAATAATATCGACTATTAAGAGAAGGATATTGAAACATGAATTATCAATCGTCCCTTACTTTATGAAGCAATGCACTAATTATCAATAAGATAAAAAAAACTCACTTTCTGCCTTTTTTCGTTTCTTTTTCTCCCTGGAATTTTCCTGGTTGCTATCAGCAACAAGCATCATGGCTGAAAATCTATGAGTAAGAAAGTGATGTTATGCCTGTATAAGGCCGATTTTATGCTAGAAAAGGCCAGCAATGGCGGGCGCATCTTTCTTTTAAAAGTTCCAAAAAATCTAACATGAGAAGGAACAGCATTACGAAGTTTGAGGCGTTGAGCAATTTGATGAAGTGAGAATGGATTCGCACCGCCAATGCTGGCAATTGAGCAAATATGAAACTAGAAAGTACTAACTAAATAGCAGATGGGGAATGTAGACGAGGCACAGTTACATTCCACACCCGCAACACAAACGTATCTACTTCTACTCCATGTAAAAGACAACATGCATAAGGGGATGACTGCATATAAATTTCTTGTGATTAATATGCATGTAAACGTATCTTTGTGAGAGAGTCATCGTCGTAATATGTCTCAAAGTAAAAAGAAGATCATTTCACCTTTTGGAAACGCCATTACCAAACTTCGATAATATGTTGCGAAGATATGAGGTAACAATTACGATAATGTTAATTTCGGAAGTTAATGGAATCGCCTCAAATTAACACATAGGAATGTTTTTGTTGGGATTTCAATCTATTATGCTTGTGCTCACTTATTGTTTCCTAAATGATTTGTGATCCCATGAAAAATCGCCTCAAAATATATGAAGACACAATTATAGGCAAAAAAATTCTGATCTCCGAATTAAAAATAATTCATGAAGCTACTCAGCAATATAGATTTGCAGCGTTTATGCGCAGGCTTCAGTAGACATCACTTCAATGAAAATTACATAAACGATTCTTTCTGTTTTTTTTTTTTGAAAACGAAAATTATGCATAAAGAAAGACTTAGCACGTTTGTGTGCATATAGCGATGTTTCTAAATAAATGCTCGTAAATTGCGGCCAGAAACAAAATCAGAGTTCACAATATTTCAGCTAAGCAATATGTTTTTACGGGGGACCTGGAATGAACAGTACACATAGTGTGGAGGTCCCACCGATTTTTTTTTCAATGGAACTTATTTGAGTAGAACCTTGTAAAATGATAATTCGCAGGGTTTTCGCGAAGACAGGAACAACTTTCTAACAAAGCTGTTACGAATGATTGAATGAGTGAGTAGTACAATTTTTGAAAGTTTTTAGAAAGATATGGCTGACCAAGGCCCTCTCCTCTTTCGAATTTTGTGATTTCTACGGGCATCTTAAAGCTTTCCGGGATTTTCCTCTTCTTCTTGAACCTTCCGGAAGAAAAAGTGCCATGATCGTCCTTCCAGACAGTGGCGGTTCGAGGGCCCCCTCCCTCCCCAAGAATGGGTCGCAAAATTTTTGAAATTTACTTACGTGGGTTACAAAAATGTGCAGATGACTTGTTTGTTCTTATAGCTAATTAAAATAATTTCTAAAATTTATAGCTTTATAAAAGAAAATTTTCCAGGGGCGTTGCCGCCACGCCTTTTTCTGGATTTTAGAGGTTATGGGCACGCAAAAAACTTCAGAAACAATCCAAAAACTTTTTCGGAGTGCGTGGCTAACGTTATGCACCTTCAACTGAAAAAAAATTTTAGCCGCCCCCCTCCCCTCTCCCGGACGGAGATCCTGGGACCGCCACTGCTTTCAAAGTATAGATTGTGAGCAGATCTTCTCGCTCCTAATTCATGTCAAACACTGGATAAAAACATTCTTGAAGCTTATAGTATGCAATTACGTAAGCATCGATCTTTACCACTACCGCTTTTCCGACGTTTTCTTGTAAGAAATTGCTCCTGGAAAAAGCGTAGCTGCCGTGCGTACGATCGCAGCGACAGAGCGAAAAAGGCATTTGCCAACACAGTTAAACCCAGCACGTTCAATTGCCACTTCTCCAAGAAAATACTTTGAAAATGAGGATAGTGCCTTGAACGACAATCGGATTCGGTCACTTGACACCTCCTCACGATCAGAAAGGTAACTTTCCAAATCCTCACGAGTTCTGAAGCCCATAGATCTCTACCACCCAAGAAAATACAGAAGTGAGAGCCCATGTCGTAATGTACCCTGCTAAATACTGTACTTTCATCTGCTAAATTGGTACAAGACTGCAGGCTATTGTATTTGTGGAGCATTGGGCTTCGAAGGATGCGTTGCCTTGTTCTCTGAAAAACTCAGATTTCCACGCAAGCAAATGTATGCTCCCTTGCGTTCTTTCTCATTTATTTTAAGTCATTCTCTGAGATTCAGTCCTCGCAAGCATTTTTGGCTGAACAAAAACAAGAAAGCATAAAACTCGTGCTAAAAGCTGCACATCAGCTATGGCAGTCTGTTGTAAGGGGATGTGAGGTCAGGAAGTGAAGAAGCCGGGTAGTTAGACTAGCCGCTACATTCATGTTACTTCACCACTATGATGAGTTACCGACGCAGACTTGGGACCAGAGGTGCGATGGGGGGAGCCGGGCCCACCAAAAGTGAAGGTGGTCCCAGCTACCACTGGCCGGCCAAAAGTGAAGGTGGTAGTGCCGAACACTCACCTCCAAAACGTCGACCGGGGGGGGGGGGGGAGCATAAACGTCTATCCTTTTAGGTCGTTGCCGCCAGTGCGCGGAAAATAAGCAAAACAAATGCAAAAGGGATCATGCAAGCATACTTTTATGTATACAGCGTCATAAATATCTAAAATAAACGTGCTTATCAAATGGTGTATTTGGAAGTAAAAGTTTGTTGGACTGTACGGATTTTATTGAGTAAATTTTGTCATAACATACTGCGAAGGAAGTAGGTCGATCTAGGCAGTAACGGCCGAGAACCAGAATTTTGAATATTTAGAAAAATCATGCGAAATTTCTACTGTTGTAAATCTGTTGTTTGAAGGTGTCAGCAGTTGCGACTTCATGGTTTTTGAAGAGTAAATGGTGCTCTATCAGATAGTGAAGGAATCGAGTCGATATGAGAGATAGTCGTTGAAAACCAGAATTCTAAAAATTTACGCCATTTTTGCGTGTTTTTTGACAGTTGACAGTTAAACTCATATAAATCTTCTGGTTTTCAACGACTATCTCTCATATCGACTCGATTCCTTCACTATCTGATAGAGCACCATTTACTCTTCAAAAACCATGAAGTCGCAACTGCTGACACCTTCAAACAACAGATTCACAACAGTAGAAATTTCGCATGATTTTTCACTATTTAAATATTCAAAATTCTGGTTCTCGGCCGTTACTGCCTAGATCGACCTACTTCCTTCGCAGTATGTTATGACAAAATTTACTCAATAAAATCCGTACAGCCTCGCTGACTTATACTTCTAAATACACAATTTACTGAACAAGAAAATAAAAAAATATATATGCCGCAGTGTACATAAATATAAGCTTTCAATAATCTTTTTTTTTGCGTTTGTTTTGCTTATTTTCCTTCTTTATGGTCCAGCGAAGAATTTTTTATTCCAAAAGTGAAGGTGGTCACCCTGTACCAGCTCAAAAGTGAAGGTAGGGGGAGAATCGGCTCCCACTATCGCACCTCTGCTTGGGACACCGCGCCGCCGTGGTCCCACCACATGTCTACATCCACTCGCTCTTGCTATTTAAGGCAGCGTACACCCAAAATTTCACCTTCGATGTTTTTGTCATTCTGGGGCCTTTCCGTGCCGCTGATTACAGTTGTGTCATTGAAATCCTTCAAAAGTCCCAAGAAACCCCGATTTCCCGGGACCCCCTCTTCAGGGGCGGACGAGTTTCGAACTGCTCGTCGCCGTCGGCATGCCAGCAGCTGCAACAGCATGACAGCCTGCAGTTGCAACTGCAACTGCTGCATATGCTGTAGTGGTTCGTTGCCCGAAGGAGTTTTGCAACAGTGCAGTTGCAAAAAGCAACTGCACTGTTGCAACTGCAGTTGCAGATGCAACAGCATTGCAAAGCAACTGCAACGGCAACTGAAGCTTACGCTGTCGTGGATTCGTTCGGAGGAGGCGGAGTGAAAGAAAAGGGGTGGAGTGGAAGAAAATTGAGGGGGGTTTTCTCCGCTCGGAAGCAACATTGGACGACCGGACCAACGCAGTTGGTCTTCTTCTGGGCCCAGTATATGCACGGTATAGATAGATCTAGGAAATTCGGTAACTTAGATTTTGGGTGTACGCTGCCTTTAATGTGGTACACGTCGCCAAATACGCTACTTATGTATTGTCCGCGTCGGCGACTCAATCATCCGGCTCTCTAAAAGCCCACTACACAGCACACAGAACCAAATAGGGAAGACAGGATAAACCGCTACTGCATGCGCATGTGCTAATCTACCACTAATACAACATAATCATTGCAGTGGAACCACCACAGCGCGCTAAAATAGCCTCCCCCTAAAGGAGTACAGAACTATGGTCGATGTTAGTGACGTAAACATGTCAAGCATGCAACGCCACCAGCAGTTTGATGAAAAGCATCAAGGTATACGATACAACATCTAAAAAGACGAACGAATTTTGAAGGGGGAGGGTGCAGCCATCCTATCATCTGCCGTATTTAACGGAGTAAGAGACACTTCAGGGATAATTTTGACTATATCGAATGGCACCAGAGCCAAATTTCTAAGCTGGTAAACAACGATAATTTGGTTATATACGGTAGGTGATATAGCTGAAATGCGTGTTGCGGTTCTCCACTACCTTTCTCAGCATCACTTTTACCGCGGATGAATGTGTAGCGAGTTTCCTGCGCATCGTTGTGGGTTCGATCCACTCGAAGACTGTAAATTGTCGTCGCTAGCGCCAGTGCCAGAGCATCTTCCTTGAATCAGAATTTCCACACGTTAAAATTACGATTAACTATAGCATGGGAAAGTGCTGCTTGCTGTAAAAAGTGACAAGGAAGAACTACAGGCTGGCCGATAAGTATGGGCGTTACAACATGTAATATATCTTTTTTCCGAAATAATCTATCATGGCGGCTATTATGCCTGTAGCTTATGGACATTCTCTATATTGAGATAAGTGAAAATCAGGCGAATTGAAGTATTCTGATGCAAACGGGACTTCTAAGTCTACTTTTTCCTGAGAGGCGCCGCGGCGCGTTCAGCTAACATCAAATTTACAGTACCGTGTCTTATTTTGGAGAGAAAATTTTTTTTGCTTTTACAGCACATTGTTATTCCTCGGACTATGCTCTACAAAACCTCAGGTCCTAGAATCTACTGAATTAATAATCGGGTTATTTCAAGGGGTTTACAATGGGTACATTCTTCAAGTAGCATTTTTGACGCATCAAGTTCAAGGTAAGCTGCTAAAGTCTGTATGCATGCATAGGAATCCAGTCTTGCAGGTAACACACTAAGATGCCTATGTTTTTCGCATGCAAAAGTAGTCTTACAGGATTTTGTTTGCTATGAAAAATCATTGAACGAAAAATGTGACGCCCTTACTTTTCGGCCACCCTGTATGTCATCTGAGTCTTGAATGGCTGTTTATTCAGCTTCAATGCACTCAAAACAAACCTGCATATTCTCAGACTCCCTCAAGCAGACATCGATGCAATCAAGAGCAGTTCGGCTATCGAAACAATTGGATATTTGCACTTTGGTTCTTTTTCCATCGTTCAGGGCTGCAATTCTGTCCACCATCCTTTCCGACATAGACGCCTCGAGTTCATCCATTTCGTCTTCTTCTTCATCTAAAAGCCACAAAGTCTGTCTATGATACAATGACACATAATTATCAGTGAAGCTATGTAAATGGATGCAACTGGATGTAAGTGGTAATAAATTCTATCTTTTGCGAGCGACCTCAAAGAAACTTTAGAATAAGAGAATCGTAATATGCCGCGTTCGCCTCATTTAAAGGCAGTTTCCGGGCAAAAACTCGATTTTGATTTTGTGCTTACCCGGGCCTATTCGCTATGCTGAATCCGAAAATCCACATTGGAGAGCACGAAAACGACGAAAAAAGGGCTCTAATACTGGAGGGAAATCAGCAAATGGGCGGGGTCTTCCCCACGGTGAATTCACGCTCCCAGCTTCGGGGGCGATCTTTTTGGTTCCGGTTTCGAGTCATTCGTTTGCACTTGATCGGTAATGATGTCAGGGCGGCTAACGGATTCGAGAAAATTTCTCGGGAAGCTGGAAGCGTGATTTCACATTGAGGAAGACCCCGCCTACTTGCTGATTTCCCTCCAGTGTTAGGGCCCTTTTTCGTCGTTTTCGCGCTCTCCAATGTGGGTTTTCGGATTCAGCATAGCGAATAGGCCCGAGTAAGTACAAAACCTCAAAATCGAGTTTTTTCCCGGACACTGCCTTTAATACTGCGACTCGCGTCAAGTGGTGCCTTGCTTGCGGCATTGGACTGTTTCCATTAATGAATCCAACCATTACAGATGTGATGATCAGGGTCAAGCGTGGGGTGCGGCACGCCGCAGCTGGGGGGCGTATTGAGGAGTCAAAAGGGGAGGGGATCGTAGTTGGGTAATCTGATAATAGTGATAAGACATTGGTAAGCAGTTTGTCAGGTACGCGAAACAGACACATGAGATATTGACTACCCTAGCATAATATAGAGGTGCTATGAAGCTTAACGAGTATCATATCCATAATTAGCATGTCGATTAACCCGTGTAGACAAAGTTTGGGCGAATTCTGAACGTTCAAGATACTAGGCCACCTAATGTGAAATGGTCATTTTCCAACATGATCAGCTATGTTTCAAAGGTGAATTAGCTACCCGTTTCTGCACGCAAGACAAAGCACTACTCCTTATTTGTCCATCTCAGAAACTCGCTTCAAAACACCTCCAAATCATGGAATTAGAAGCCAACCAAAATCTCGTTTTTTCCAGTTTCGCTTTTGATGGCTATGCTTTCACCAAATATTACTCAGCACTAAGATGATGAATCAGGCCCAAATCACTCCTGTGAAATCTGCGACTAGGCTATCGTTTCGTATAAATACTGTTCGCTAAAAAGGTTTTTATGATATAGTTAATGGAGTGTGGCACAACCCCTCAAAAACTGTCCAAATATTACTCAGCGCTAAGATGATGAATCAGGGGGTGTAGGACGATTCGCACCGTAATGCTTTCCACACAGGATCATCGCCGCGCGCGGCACACCCTGCGGCGGCTTTTGCCTAAGCAAAACAGGGGGAGGAAAGGTTTGCGGCGTGCATTACATGTTTAGACAAGTCAAAATCAGGGAGACGCTGGAGACAGCCCGTGCGAAAAGACCGTCTCCCGTCTTAGGGCCGCATGCACTAACCTCCCCGCGGGGAGGGGATCGCAGCTTAAAAGAAAGCTTTACGTTTCGAAACTCCAGATATCTGGATTTCACGTTGTGTACCTATCCGTAAGTATTCCTACTACCCTTTACTATGAACATGTTGAACAGGAGCGAGAAGCTGTACGAACCGCATTTTCCAGCTTTTGTATGATCCCTGATGATCCCCGGCGCTTTTCTTTAAAGTCATTTTTCTTACTCCGAAGTTAACGAAAACCTTCCAAAGTCGTACTGAACATCTGACACAACAGTGCTAAGCATGTTGCTGATGAGAACAAATGAGTTTTCAAAAAGTCGAATTTTCCGGCAAACCTCAAATTTCGACCTGTGGATCATCGAAAATTTCATGACTTCAAAACATCATTTGTTCTTATCAGCAACATGCTTAGCACTGTCGGTTTAGATAATCTGCACAACTTTGGAGGTTTTTCGTTAACATCAGAGAAAGAAAAATGATTTCAAAGAAAAGCGCCGGGGATCATCAGGGATCATACAAAAGCTGGAAAATGCGGTTCGTACAGCTTCTCGCTCCTGTTCAACATGTTCATAGTGAAGGGTAGTAGGAATACTTACGGATAGGTACACAACGTGAAATCCAGGTATCAGGAGTTTTGAAATATAAACCTTTATTTTAAGCTGCGATCCCCTCCCCGCGGGGAGGTTAGTGCATGCGGCCCTTAGGTATATAGTTCAGGGGGGTCTTATTGAGACAGCAGTTAGAGGGGAGGGAGGTCGTAATCAGCGATCGCGTGCCACACCTCTTGCTTGACCCTGGTGTGATTGGCACTGATTTGGAAAAAAATACACCAACAAAACTATCGCCGCCGAAACTGCAGCTAGCACGGAGCATTGGAACGTTCGACGAGGATAATAACTTTGCTGATCTCCATTATAGAAGTATCGCTTTCGAACCTCATCGCTATTGAAACATGTAACTGAGCTGCAGGGGCGCTGATAGTCTTGTTTTCGAATTTCCCACTCTCAGCGCAAACTATATTGTTTCCTAAGCTAGTATTCTCACATAGATTTGATCATTTTCACTGCGCTTCGTGAGATAGGCATGAAGAAGGGCAGATAAAGAACTTGGAGTGGGAGTATTGATGCGAGGCAGTAATATTCCTTCAAATATATAAAATAGTTTCACATTCACCGTCTAAAAATTCGCAATCCTTCCTTTTGTTGTAAGATTTGGAATAACTCGACAGGGTAAAGTGGCTCTACAGGGTCACTAAACATTCGCATAAAATTTGTACGCATTGATGGAAGCCGAGATTCACGAATATATACATATAGGATTTTGCCCGCCCCCCCCCCCCCCTCCTCATCCCCAGAAATGAATGGGGATTTAAAAGTCACTTACATAATTTGCAAAATTGTGCAAGTGATTATCTATACTTGTAAACAAACAAAATAATTTTACTTGCGCGGCGGTAATTTCTTAGACTTTAGTGGTTACTAGCTGGCTTACCCGGCTCCGCCGTATGTTCCGAATAGAAAATTCCATTTCTTAACCGATCCGGACCAAACTTGGCACACATACACTTGGGTGGAGGACTATATGTCGCCGAATTTGGAAGAGTCCCGCGCGGATTCCCTGCAGGAACGCATGTCCGCGCATGTACAAGGGTGCGTATTCGTCGCAAATGACCGCGGGGACCGCCCTTTTTCGGCGACATATAGTCCTCCACCCCATACACTTCGGGCCCCGGCGGGTGTCACAGCCCACTTTTCGTTATCGATCGATGTCGATTTTACCGATTTTTTGCAAAATTTGAGCTAGGGGGCTGGAATTTGGCAGAGGGGTGTAACGAACATGCTGATCACCCCCACGAGGGTGATCAGCATGCTCGATTACCCTGCCAACTCCCAGCCCCCTAGCTCAAATTTTGCAAAAAATCGATAAAATCAATATCGATTAATGACGAAAAGTAGCCTATGACACCCGCCGGGGCCCGAAGTGTATGTGTGCCAAGTTTGGTCCCGATCGGCTCAGAAATGGAATTTTCTATTCGGAACATACGTAAACACATACAGACAGACATACAGACAGACAAACAGACATTCAGCTTTATATATAAGAATATCCGATTTTTGAGAAGCATCCAAAAAATCTGCCCTCCCCCTCCCCACCGGCGGAATGGGACCGCGATACTTGGCTAGATGTCAAACACCCGTATCAAAAATCTAACTGGCTGGTACATGCACTATTCAGATCATGCATGAAATATCGGTGCAGTACTACCCAAATTTTCCGGTTGCAATTAAGAAAACGAAAACTGGCAATAAATGCCCACATCCCTAAACAGAGTACATGCGTCAATCTTTAGAAACATGAATACATTTTTGCCATCGCACACGCACTCAATCCCAAGAAATTCGGCTCATAATCGTGTGCAAACAGTGGAGTAGGAGGGGGTGGGGACGGTCCCCGTCTAACGTAAATCGCTTTGCAACTGCATATAGAAGTCGTGTCAATGAAAATGAGAAAAATGATATCGTCCATTTCTAAGAGAATGTAATGATTGACGCCACGACAGGTTCTTATAGCAACATTGACTGCCGAAATGTTAGGCGCCACAATGAATTGTAGCTATAAAAACCTGTCGTGGCAAAGAAGAAACTGAGTGATATTCATCAATTATGCCAAGGTTTAAAGAAAGGAGAATTTTTGAAAGGAAAGCGACCAAAAAGAAAGACACAGCACACAAAAGCAATTTGATTGCACTTACTGATCTTATACGGTCAGAGAGGACAATAGAAGACAAGACTCAAATATTCAACTGTAATTTTGGACAAATAGAAACTACAGCAGTTATGATTACTCACTGCGCCTTCTTCCTCTCATCACCCGGGGCTTCCTAGCAGGAGTTTTTCTCTGCTTCTCCTTCGTCACCTCCAGCTGTATGGAGTCATAAGAGTTCACATTGCGGAGTGGCTGAAAAGACATTTTCATCGCGAAGATTTATTAGCTCTACTAACAACATGGATGCAAATCCATAATAGCTGAGAAGACCAGGACTGTAGAGAGCAGCCGAGATTTCAGTTCTCAAAGTGACCCGTCATACTTCGCCAAAAAATGCCCGAAAAAGCCCCAAGAAGCCCAAAAAAGCCCGAAAAGCTCGAAAAAGCCGAAAAAAGCCCGAAAGAGCCGAAACTTCCCTTCCGTTGTGACGCTAAGGCATATGTGTTGATTTCACATCGAATTTTTTTGCTTCATGTTCTACCGTCTGCACATCCAAATAATGTCAAAATTCCACCAAGAGTTCGATCCTGCGTTCCGGCTCTTTCGGGCTTTTTCGGGTTGTTTCCGGCTTCTTTTGGCGCTTTTGGGCTTTTCTCGGCGAAATATGACGGGTCCCAAGAACTAAAACCAACCCACCTTTTTCTGTGCCCTTCCGCGTTTGATGGGAACGGTAGAATTCTCTGAGGCTTCGGAGTCAGAGCTGCGACCATCAACGAATTCCTCAAAGATAAGAAACCGATGGAGTGGATCTAAGGACTCCACAGGCAAATTACCTCATCGTCAAATGTGCTTTTCTTCCTTCTTCTGCTGACATTCGCACCGAAGCGATCACCTCCGAACATCAAAGCACGAGAACTAGTATGCAAGAAAACTCGGGACTACTTCGTTCAAAAATTCTCGCGAATTATCAATCGGCCGCGATGCGACAGGCGTGTGATTGGAGCGCATAATCTTCACATGCTCCTCACGCACGTTGATGAAATCTATGCGGATTTCTTCATCATTCTGCGCTTTTGCTTTGCTCTGTTTTTTTGGCTATCATGTCCAGTCGTTTTATTTGCTTCATTTCTGTGTACTGAAGTCAAACTTCACTCGCAATAAAAACCGAGTTTGAGGAAAATCTTAGGTCCAGTGAGTAGTACTTCAAGCTCAACATTGTGTCGTCTATTTGCTGCAGTCATATACTGGCAAGAAATTAGCTCAGCTTGGGTGACCATTCTCTGATAGTTGAGGAGCTCTACAATCAATGTTTTTCTCATTTTTCCGTCATGAGCTGTCTATCTTCCCGTAAACATTGAAATCTTGAAATATTTAGGCATTTGTTCCTTTTCTGAAAGCCACTGCATTTCCAATGTGACGCATCAGTGGAAAGCCAGCACAGAGTCCTTATCAGTTATTTTGTGCCGGTCTTGCTCATCAGTGTTATTGTTGAACTCTCCTTTGTTCTAAAATACCTTGACTCTGAATTTGTGTGCCGTTTAAGAATGGTTGAGAGAGAACTGATCAAATCAGAAGATTTTGAAGCGAGTCCTCTTCCGCTGACTGCCCTTTGTATTGTCTCCGATAAAAACAAATGTCCAAGGGGATTTACTGCGGTGAGTGTTATGTAATTTTTCTCATATCTTGCTGGCCTACGCCAGAAATGAGGGGGGGGGGAATTCTTTTGCGAAAGGTCCGAGGAAAGTATGGGGCGTTCGAAAAATTGTGACGATGGCGCGACCGCGCGCGACTACATGCCACTTCCGGAAATCACATTTTCTTGGTTTTCATTTCTAGTCAGATGGTTTTTTTGCCTATGTATGATAATATCCAGACTGGAAGTAATTGAGCTGAACATTGAGGTAATGCAGTCTTGTATGAGCGTTTTATGCTTCTATGGGTGCAAAATCCGCAGTAAAATCCGTCGTCACGATTTTATAAATAAACCATACAAAATTAAACCTATGCTCCTGCTTTTTTCATAAACGCAGAGATCTGAGTTGACCGGTGCTGTCACTAATAGTGCAAACGACACTTAGTTTGATAGGCCCTATATCGTCTGCGTCCCAGAGAGGTTCCCATAGGTGCCACGTCATCTCCCCTTTCGCTCTTTTAAACGTGTTAACCTCGGGCACTTCCGTTGAAATCTCAGGAGAAACGTGTCAAAAAGAGCGAAAGGCAGCGTCGCACCACGTACGCACGCGGTTCACATGGGAACCTCTCTGGGGTGCAGACGGTACATATGTGCGGAATAGATTTATTTCTGAACCGATTTGGACCAAACTTGGTGTACATAGGTACACTTCGGGATAGGGAGCGTGTCATAGGATTGTTTCATACTGCAGTCGCTGCAGCTACTGCAGTCGTATGGGGGTGGGCAGAAGATATCGATCGATTGACTGCCGTTGCTGCAGCTAATGCAGTATGAAACAACCACATTGGTTGACCCAGAAAATAAAAATCGTGAATTTCGCTAAAACTTCGTCTAGGAGGTTATTTGGTACGCTGAACACGAATATGATGTTTATTTCGTGCGACAGCGCTATCCGGTGGAGTTCCGGTAGGCTTACGGTAGGGGTCAAAAACTCGTACCTATAGTTACAAATGGCTGCGAAGAGCGCGCCCCATGACCCAATGCAAATTTGACCGGCGCGCAGGACGTTTAGTGTCGGAGCGCGCAATGCAGGCACGGATGTCTACTATTTGAGCTACATAGGCTAACCAGTGGAGATCTTGATCGATGACAGCTTATCAGTGTCATGGAACGAGCTGGGGAGGGCGTCGTAGAGCCAGCAGCAACAAGTTGACATGAAAGGCTAGAGATTGTATGATTGATCTTTTTCTGTAAACTTTTTGCATGACTTTCTTGTGTGACCTCTTTCTAATAGCAAGTTATGCAGCAGACTCCGTTTCTTGATGCTAAGGGTTGAAGACTTGTATGGGCCCGTACTTTTTGCTGTTGCTTGTGTTTTGAAGACAAAGCTGGTTTCCTTTTTTGCGTACTCGCAATGAGCAAATTCAGAATCCACATCTCGTTCTCTAGATTAAATGGACAGTATCTGCATGCTCTGAGGTAATCTATAACAACCATGAAAGGTGGACTCTCTGCTCAACAACTCAGGCTTTCTTCTCATCTGTCACAAAAATGAAGCTCAAAGAGGCCGGGTGTATAGCATTAGAACTTGTGAAGGAAGTTTTTTCAGTTCATTATACTGCATGCACAAAATTTTTGGTTATGACATAATGGAAAGCAGTTTTATCCTCAGTGCATCGCGATAGCTACCTAAGGCTTGAGATATACCTGACGATAGAGGTATAGCGGGTGTTGGCGAATCGCTGATGTCTGCGCTGCCTTTAGCTGCTCGTGGCTGCTGCGCTGGGTACGCTTTGGGTGCAAGAACGAGTAGCTTTACCCATTACTATGCTTAGCTTAGCCCATTAGGAAAGTAAGTTTTGAGAACTATCAAAAACTAAAGAATATGATTACGTGTTCCGAAAAAAATCATCCTGTTCTCATCAACAAATCTTTTTAAGAAGCATACAGTTGCAAACCAAATGTTGCACTAGTACTGAGAAAATAATCATTACTATTATTTAAGCGGTGTCGCAATAGAATCTTGATTTGTGCTTGAGGCAAAAACCGAACGACCTAGGTCATAGCTGCCATTAATGTATTGAGGTGTATTGGTAACATCCCACTAAATCGTAAATTTTCTAATTTTTTGGGCGGCGCCGCGTTATGGAGCAAAGCTACGCCGCATTTGCTTGTGGTATATCCTGAGGGCCCTTTGCGTTGCGTCGCTCCTAATTGCAGTCGCAGAGAGCTAGCGCTACCGAGCGAATTGAGCCATTTTCTTCACTCTCCATAAATAAAGAGATCAAAATGTCAATGATAAACGCATTTCAAGGGCGAATCAAATACAGAGTATGAGGAGGAAAACTTTGCAAAGCAAGCCAAGACAAAGTAAAAGATGAGTGAGTTAATTTCTCTTGGGAACTCATGACGGAAAATTTCTATCCTTTCTCTACTAATTCTCGTATTCCACTTCTCCTGAACATTTTTAGCTCAAATAAGCATTGTATCATCTCAGATTCAGCCTTCATTCATCCCTAGAATTCATTTATTTTTTAATTTTCTAAATTGCCGTCTTCTTTGTTTTTCTAATTGCATCTATACAGTTTCGACATATCAGGTCGTTGTGATAGGGAATTGCTCGCTACTCCTGCGCAATTAAGAGCGACGCAACGCAAATGGCCCTCAGGATATACCGCAGGGAAACGCGGCGTAGTTTTGCTCCATAACGCCTGCCCCCCAATTTTTTGTTAATCCAATTTGATTCTTCGCAGAAGTTTTGTGCGGTTTTCATATTTATTTGTTCGTTCACTTTGTCAATTCTCTGTTAATTTTCCTATCGAAGCATTTGCGTTTTGGTCTTGCAAATTTGTCACAGTTCAGTAACGCAACAAGCGCTCTAAAAATCCTTCAGAAGTTCAAAAGGATGTTAAAAACGGGCAAATCCGAGCAAAATCAGCGCTAGCAGCTTGAAGCAGCTGAGAGAAGCTCACCAAAAGTGAGCTTCATATCGCGTAGCAGCGAGGAGCAGCTACGAGCAGCAAGCAGCAGCGCAGAGCAGCGCAGCATCTCCAGCTATAGCGGGTCTGTATCGCGTTCGCTGCAGCAGCCAGAAGCAGCAGCGTTGCCTGGCGTCAATCGATACGCATAAAAGGCGTTGCTGCTGGCAGCGTCTTATCGTCAGCTATAGCGACCCATCGTCAAGTATATCTCAAGCCTAAGGAACCGGCCATACTATTCCAGGAGGTGACTGTGATTCCTGTTCCTGTATTTCCTGTGATTCCTCGACTTCCGATATGCCGCACTACGGATCGCTTTGCGAATTTCAGTATACATTTTTTTCGCAATATACATTGTTGCGGGACCCATGGGAACCACAAGAATCGCACGAATTGCAGGAATTACAGGAATAGTATGGCCGTCCCTAAGGAATGCGCTCATGAGGAGTGCGAGGCAAAGAAGCGAGAGATATCTGAACCACATACTTCTCACAGGCCGTACTTGTGCTTTTGTACACTTGTCCACCCATCAGATATGAACAAACACCAAGTACCAAAAACTGAGTGATAAGTAGTAAAGTGGAAAGCGTGATAGCACCCTAACTGAGCTGGAAGCCTAAATAAGCTGCCGAAATTGACGTATACAGTAATTTCCCCGAACAGTTAAGCTATCAAAATCCATCTGAACTTACAATGCTCACCCGTAGGCTACTATCCATTCTGGGAATAGAAAACTCGAAGACGCTTTGTATCTACAAGTTTTCTAAACATGCTCGGACTTTTTTATCCAAGTAGTCTATCATCAAAAATGAGATATGTCAAAAATACTTTTGAAACTGAAACGTTCTTGAGCCTCCTAGTCTCAGAGCGGATGATACTTACCTCTTGACACTTGGATCTGCAGCTTTCTTCTTCTTATGGCTGCCGTAAAAGAAACAAGTTCGTTAGAAAGCTCCTCTCTGTTTAAACACAAACAAATCGTAATTTTCTTATCCATGTTAAGTTCTTGAGATACCATATCAATGAAAAACGATCTAAATGGCAAGAGATGAAAGGTGAATCATCGAACGTTAACAACTGCACTTGTTCTTGTGATTCTCCTGCAGAAAAGAGCCGTTTTTCCTTCAGTGTCACTTATTTCGCGTTGAAAGTTATAGGGTCTGCGCGCTTAACCGCCAGGGTTCCCGTGCGGAAGACAGATTTGCACTGGGACACGGGGCGCGGTCTTCGCAGCCATTTGTAACTATAGGTACGAGTGGGGTCAAAATCACGGATTTGCCCGAAACTTGGCCCAGAGGGGTTATAGGGCCCGTGATGCTGAATATCACACTAATTTTGTACCGTAGCGTCATTTTCTCGGGTTGCGGCGGGTATACGGTAGGGGGTCAAAATCTAAAAATCCGCTGTAACTTCGCACAGAGGGGTTATTCGACATGTTGATTAGAAATGTCACACTTTCTTCACACGAAAACGTCTCCCTTCATGGTTACGGTAGGTTTACGGTAGGGGTCAAAATCGAAAATCGGCAGATGTATCCTTCCCTGAGCTTTGACTAGGCAAAAGCCGGAGCAGGATGTGTAGCGCGCGGCGGTGGTAGTGTGTGCAAAGCTATGGTCGTCCGAGTCGCCGTACACCAGTTTCAGGCAAAACTATGTTTTACACCCGTTACCGTGTAGCTACCGTAACCCGAGAAAATGACGCTACGGTTCAAAACCAATGTGATATTCAACATCACGGGCCCTATAAACCCTCTGGCCCAAGTTTCGGACAAATCCGTGGTTTTGACCCCATATCGTAGTCCTACCATAACTCCACCGGATGGCGCTGTCCCACGAAGTAAGCATCACATTCGTGTTCAGCATACCAAATAAATCCCGTGGACGAAGTTTCAGTGAAATTCACGATTTTCATTTTTGGGTCAACTAATGTGGAATAGTATCGATTTTTATCGGTTTTTTCGCAAAGTTCACCTACGGGGCTGAGAGTTGGCACAGGGGGGGGGGGGGGTATGTGGGCATGGCGATTTCGAATACAATATTAGATTTCAGAACTATCGATCACGTTTATCGATTTTTTGCAAAGTTTGAGCTACGGTGCTGGGAGTTGGCACATTGGGGTAATCGAGCATGCTAATTACGAATACAATATTAGTTTTTGGTATTACCTACTACTTTCATTGATTTTATCGATTTTCAAAATTTGAGCTGAAGGGCTGGGAGTTGGCAAAGGGGGGGGGGGTAAGTGGGCATGCTGATTTCGAAAACAACACAGGACGGGAAATGAAGTGTAGAAGTGGGCACAGGGAATGGCTGTACAGAGAGAGGGATGGGAACTTTATTACAGTGTTTTGACAGGGTCGAGCGGAGCCGGGTAAGCAAGCTAGTTTCCTATAAAGAACACACTAACTAACAATTTACCAACATTCAACCTTTTCTCGAACTATATGAGATTATTTGACAATCAACGGTCAACTCATAAAAGATCTGTTGTCAGCCCGAAAGGCATCTGTTACTCCTACTAGTTCTGATGGCATCCCTCACTGCGTGGGGAACGGTCAGGAGTCACGGTCGGCGCGAATTTTTCGCGAAGCGATGTCAGTAAAACAGAAGCCAGCACTCCTGGCGCAGTCTTACTTACGGCACGAGCCATGTATCTGCCCCACCCCCCACCCCCCTAGACTGGCGCCGTGCCACTTTAGCACCGGGCAGTTTTATGGGGTGCAAACAGGGCTCAGCACAGCTGGCACCGGGTCAAGCTGGATATCGTTTTTAGGGCGGAAAGCAAAGGGGATATCGTTTCCACAGGAGCCGAGGCGGAGAACTGCCGCAAAAATGCCGCCGGCATGCCACCGGCATGCCATTGGCAAGCTGTCCATCAACAAACAAAGGCGTTGTTTTCAGCCAAAACGCAATAGTATGACACCAAATTTGGTGTGTGCATGCGCGTTGGTGGACCGGAACTACGGGCCAAAAATTTATGAAAACTTATGTGAATGAAAGCTGTGCCCAACTTTTTTCTGAATTAGCTGGCACAGTGCCAGCTGGGTGCCAGCTGACAAGGGAATGGTCAGAAGTCGTAGTGGCCAATCCATACAAGCTGCATATCAATCGATGCAGCATAGAATGCTGACTTCAAATGTGTCTTCCGTATCTGCAGAGCGCCTTTGTGGGCGAAGTTATGAGCAGCTTTACTGAGGAAAAATCGTCCACAAAAACTGCGAAATTAGGCAGATCACTGCTCTTTTAGCTCACCTTTAGGTATGAGCCATATGAACTGACCTAGTTACACGTTTTGGTCCAACACTGAGCCGAGAATGGCTTTGTACGGCCAAGTTTGACCTTTACACGCACCATTTCTTAGCAAAATGATGACATTTAACGGCTCATAACTTCGCCTACAAAAGCGCTCTGCAGATAAGGAAGACAGATCTGAAATCAGCATTTTATGCTGCATCGAAAGGTATGCAGCTTGCTTGAATTGGCCACTTCGATTTCTGACCATTCCCTTGTGAGCTGGCACCGACACTTTGCTCACATAAGTTTTCATACTTTTTTACATAAAATGTATCTACACTGTAAAAGATTACATACGGAGAAGAAACAGTTTCATAATGTTCTCTATTCAGCGTTTTATAGCAATTGAAAAACCACTTGGCCCGCTCGGCAGTCGAAAAATCGGCTTTTTCTGCTTCTCAATATGTGATTCGACCACTTAAAAAGCTCAGAAAGTTGTGAAAAGTTCTTTCATGAATCAGAAATGAACACTACTACATTTTTTACATAATATAAAAATGATGACGGGTTTTTAAAACAGGTCAAAAGGGACTTCGTACGAAATTTTCATTATCAAACGGGACTTCGTTTTGAAATTTCCCTGGTTCCAGCTCGTGCCGAGCCCTGGGTGCAAAATTTAGACGCGACGTGCGCGGCGAAGCGGCGCGGCGCGCGGCGTGACTCCTGACATGGAGCCCACTGCGTCGTTCTCAAGTGAGTAACCCTTGCGCTTGTAGCCTGCTGCATAACGAAGGCGCAAAATTTTTGGGCACGAACGCGGCTTCATTATCCACGGAGCGCATGAGGCGCAGGATTCACAACGGTAAAGATACGCGCGCGTTGAGTTCGCGCCCGCTCAGCTAATGCTGCTCCTGCGCCTTCGTCATGCGGTAGCCTTTACAACGTGTGTTAAGTAGATGAGCTCCGCTGTTAATTTCAGCATGCGTCCGTATGGCGCGGGCTGCTAGTGAAATTAAAAGCCTATACACACGTGCGGGCCATTGTCAGTATGGCAACAATAAGTGCGCGGGTCACCAGCTCACGCTTTTGGGCCCTATGGACCTGATGCATGTAACGCTAAGATTTAGGTCCCGCGGCTCAGCACTCTAGTTGAGTGACCGGAGCACTGCAGTGATTGTTGAGACTGGGAGCACCATTGTTAATTTTTTTGTTGTTGTTGTTGTTCCCTGTCATTATCGTCTATTTTAGGTAACTCGGTGCCACGACGACGGCAGTGATGCTGATCTTTGGCGCGAAAGTGCTTTTTCGCTATGGTCTCGTCCCGTTCGTTACCTTGCTATTAGTCGAGAGATACCTGAAGCGACAATAAGAGTCAGTCTTTTAGTTGTGATATTACATAATAGTTTCTGAACTTGGAAAGATGAGTTCTTGGTCAAATTACTAGTATTGAGGAAGCTTTAGTAAGCTTGATGAGCCTATATGAAAATTTCGTCAGCACTTTGCAGTTTGTTTCACAAGCAGGCTACAGTTTGGCCCTGGCCAGACTTCGCTCAAAAGCGCTCAAAAGCGCCCAAAAGCGCTCAAAAGCGCGCAGAAGCGCCCAAATTTCTCTGGTGTCTCTTCACTTTCTCGTGTGAGGAGAGATGAGAGAGAGTGAGGAGAGCTTAGAGAAGTTTGGGCGCTTTTGCGCGTTTTTGAGCGCTTTTGGGCGCTTTTGCGCGCTTTTGAGCGCTTTTGGGCGCTTTTGAGCGAAGTCTGGCCAGGGCCTTTCCGATCGATGCGGCAAACTCAGGCGCTAAGCCCGCGAACGCGGCACGGCGCCTAGCGTTACGCTTGCTGATCGGGAAGGGAGAACATCGTTGACACACTATCTGTATAGCGCTAGCTGGCAAGCCCGGCTCCGCCAGGCCCTGCCAATAATATTTTCGTAATCAGCATGCTCACTTATCCCCTGTGCGCCAACTTTCAGCCTCGTAGGTGAAATTTCATAAAAACTCGATAACATCGATATCGACGTCAGCCACACCCTCCGAAACACTTTACGGAAAGCTTTCATGATTTTTGCGAGCTTGCCTGGAAATTCCTGCAAGACGGCGGCTTGCAGCAAGGCAGCTTTTTTGAAAAACTAGCTGGCTTACCCGGCTCCGCCGTATCCGGACCAAACTTGGCACACATACACTTCGGGCCCCGGCGGGTGTCATAGGCTACTTTTCGTCATCGATCGACATCGATTTTATCGATTTTTATCGATTTTTTTGCTGAGTTCACCTACGGGGCTGGGAGTTGGCACAGGGGGGTAATCGAGCATGGGGATTCCGAATACAATATTAGTTTTCAGAATTATCGATTACTTTTATTGATTTTATCGATTTTTTGTAAATTTTGACATGCGAGGCTGGGATTTTGCACAGGGGGTAATCGAGCATGCTGATTACGAACACAATATTAGTTTTCAGGATCGTCCATTACTTTTATCGATTTTATCGATATTTTTTGTAAAGTTTGACCTGCGGGGCTGGGAGTTTGCACGGGGGGTAATCGAGCATGCAGATTACGAATACAATATTAGTTTTCAAGATCGTCCATTACTTTTATCGATTTTATCGATTTTTTGAAAATTTGAGCTAGGGGGCTGGAATTTGGCACAGGGGTGTAATCGAGCATGCTGATCACCCCCCTTGGGGATGATCAGCATGCTCGATTACCCCCCTGTGCCAACTCCCAGCCCCCTGGCTCAAACTTTGCAAAAAATCGATAAAATCGATAAAAGTAATCGATAATCCCAAAAACCAATATTGTATTCGGAATCCCCATGCTCGATTACCCCCCTGTGCGAACTCCCAGCCCCGTAGCTCAAACTTTGCAAAAAATCGATAAAATCGATAAAAGTAATCGATAATCCTGAAAACCAATATTGTATTCGGAATCCCCATGCTCGATTACCCCCCTGTGCCAACTCCCAGCCCCGTAGCTCAAACTTTGCAAAAAAAATCGATAAAATCGATAAAAGTAATCGATAATGCTGAAAACCAATATTGTATTCGGAATCCCCATGCTCGATTACCCCCCTGTGCCAACTCCCAGCCCCGTAGGTGAACTCAGCAAAAAAATCGATAAAAATCGATAAAATCGATATCGATCGATGACGAAAAGTAGCCTATGACACCCGCCGGGGCCCGTAGTGTATGTGTGCCAAGTTTGGTCCGGATCGGTTCAGAAATGGAATTTTCTATTCGGAACATACGTACAGACAGACAGACAGACATACAGACAGACATACAAACAGACATTCAGCTTTATATATAAGATTCGAAAAATTATCACATTTTTACCGGTAACAACAAATCATCTGCACACTTGTACAATCTGAAAATTTTCGCGACCAGGCCTTGCCTCGGTCTACTGCTCTCTAGGTGGATATATCAGATCTTTTCAGGGCACTGTATCTGTTGTTACCGATATAACCGTTGTGAAAGACACTGACCCTATACCTCATGGATTTGTTGCCATTGATTATTGCGCAGATTCACGTGAGTTGACTGTGCTTGTCTCCCCAAGCGCGATCACTTCTTGTCGTATTTACAGGTGAAAAGTCATTACGAAAACGTTTTATTTGCGTAAAGACAGAGCCAAGAGATTCAGTTGTGGATGCCGTCGGAGATGTTATAATTTTGAACAAACAGAAGAAAACGCCTAAAGATTTTACGTTAGCAGGGTGAGTTATTGCCATTGTGAATAGCATTAATCAACAGAGTAAGCAAGATCCGAAAGAGATCTTGTCTTTATTTAATCCTGACTTCTTTTTCGTTCTTTATTTTTTCGTTGATTTTTGTTCACCTTTACATGTTCTTCTAGCGAAGTAGATGGAGCTATGATATGTTTCCGCGTTGTTGTTGTTCCGCCGTCGTTCGGTCTCAAACACAGCAAGAGGTATGTTCTTAACCTTCCGATTCATCATAAAGATCTTTACTGAATGCCAGGATATTCGCCAAATTGCCTAGGGTTCGAGAAAGTTGTGTTTCAGCACATCTCAGTTTTATTATTAGAGAACAAAAGAAGGGCTCTACTTATTAGGCAGCACATGCGCTAACTTTTCGACTTTTCAATCCTTGAGTTCTATATACATCGGCCGGTTACGCCGGTATAGGCTTCGCAAAATGGCTTTCGGTCATTTCTTATCAACGCTAGACACTTTTCATTCTCACCCTTTCAGAGCTGAGTATGTACGTTGAAGCTTTTCAACTACCAGCTCGCAGTGAGGAGGAGCTGAGAAGCCGCATAGAATAACTTATTTGCGATTTCGAAGAGAAATGCTACACTCTGTAACAGAGAGCGCATTCGTAGACTAGCTTTTGGCTTATCAGTTATCGGCAAATAAGCGAGATCAATCCATAGCGACGCTACTGAAGCGGTTATTGCGATCTTGTCTTAGCTTTTGTCGCGCACTTGACGGCTTACTTACTCTTGCTTATTTGGTTCCTTTCCTCAACTAAAGCACAGATTTTTTGGTTCACTGCATTCTTACGAATTTGAATAGGAATAGCTGAGATTCTTGTCAAAACATTTTGGCACCCAGCTCTCTTGAAGGCGGTCGTATTATCAACTTGCTGTTACAACTATGCACGCTTTGATATTCATTTTCATTTAGTGACCATGCCTTAACGAACAGTGGCGGAGCAAAAGCACCACCACCTATAGGGCTCTACCCTCAGTTGGGACAGTCTGGATCAACTCCCGCTCTGAATACGAAGCCTGGTGTAAATATGTTTACTATAAAGGTTGTGTGCTGTGTTATTTCCTCTCTAGTGCTTGTTGTGTCCGCAGAATTTTTCCATTGCGTAGATGTCCATTCTCAAGGCTCATCAACAGTCAGCTTTACAGAATCCTGCTATAGCGAAAGTGCGAGGTGAAGACGGCGTACCCTTTAAGTTGAATCCACAGCTTGCATCGATGCTGAATGCTCCTACGGTATGCTATCAGTCATCAGCAGTTATTTCTAGTTCTTCATTTGATTTCCTATTCGATGCGTTGGTTAATCTGACGTTATCCAATGTCGGTTTGTTGTCGGGTTGTTGGTTTGCTAGTTCACTTTCATAAGATGTGCTGAGGAAGCACACACGAAGTTTTGAATTTCACTAATGTACACCACTTCTCCATGAGCTTTGAACAGACATAGCTGTCAGTGGCGAACCTAGGGGGGGGGGGGAGTAAATCGCTAAATTTCTGAAATTCGCTTACATGGGTTTTAGAAGTGTGCAAGCGGCTCGTTTATTCTTGTAAACAATTGCAATGATTTTCAAATTCTTTTAAAATTGAAATTAGCTCTGTAAAAAAATTTTCCGGGGCAGCCATATCCCCTTTTTCTAGATTTTAGGGATTATGGACGCGCAAAATTTTTGAGAAGCACTCCAAAAACCCTTTTTCCGGTGCGCATGGCTAACTGCACGCACCTTCATTTTAAAAAAATTTGCTCTCCTTCCCTCGGACGAAAATCCTGCGACCGCCACTGATAGCGGTATACTGGTTTTCCCAAAAATCTCCGAAGAACTAGAGTACTATCGTGTAGATCAGAATCACCAACAGAAAGGGATCGGCCATACTATTCCTGCTATTCCTACGACTCCTGCGATTCCTGCGGTTCCTGTGAGTCCCGCACAGTTTAGACGCCCTTAAATGAGCGCGTGTTGCGTGATACGTGTTGTTTTACGCAACACGCGCTCATTTAAGCGGCGTCTAAACTGTGCGGGACTCACGGGGATCGCAGGATTCGTAGGAATAGCAGGAATAGTATGGCCGATCCCAAAGAAGTTTGTACAAAAAAAAAGTAGGTCCAAAGTTGCGTAATTATACCGTGCTGCATATCTATCATATTCACTCGTCCTAAGCCATGACGTTACTTCTCCTTATTTCTCAAGCTTCTCATGTCTCTAACAGCTGTTCATAAGCAAAACCCTTTTCCTCGCATTCACATGATTCTAACAAGAAAATGATACACATAAGTTAGAGATTGGAGAGGAGTTGTATAATACTAGGCCACCTTCAAATGCTGATTCAGAATCTGCTTTCCGTTACTGCGGAACAACTTTCCAGTTTTGAACGTTTAAACGTCGAAATTCGTCAAGCTTTGAGTGATAAAGTTAGCGAAAAGTTCTAGAAAAGGCTCATGAGGATTTACACAGGTTATGTTCCTTCCTTCTAGTTAGCACACTTGATACAAAATTGATTATCCTCTTCCAGGTGTTCTTTTCCAACTTTTCGCTAATTTTATGCCTCCTCAAATCTTGACAGATTTGGACGTTCGAACGCTCATAACTTCCTTTGAAAAGTTGTTCCGCAGAAAAGAAGTTTTTGAATCAACATTTGAAGACGCGTCTACTGATACACAATCTAGAACTCATGTTGGTATCCTTCTCTTATAACAAGTGCTGTTTTTGAGCCAACTTTAATTTTCATCATTTGCAAATTTTTAGGAAGACAATATCCCTGATCCTACAGCTACGTTTGATATAAGCAGACTGGACTCCGAAGAATTCAATTACACATTTGCTCTTGAACGTGCGACTCTTGCTAGTTCATAAAGTAAGTTATGGTAACTGAGCTTTTACAAATGGCTTTTGTTTTCCCATCTCATGTGCAAACAGTACATATGTATCTATCTTTACTTTACATTACTTTGCTTTGAAAGTGAAAACCAGTTTGATCAAATGATTGTTCCGTGTTTGTTCATACCATTGTTGTAGAAATGAGCATGTGACGTGTATAAAGTCATCAGAGATGACGATGGCGACTTCTACAGCCTCGAGCTGCTAGAAATTGCCACGGTTCTTCGCACAACGCTATCCAGCATCACTTTATATTGTGCACAGCGCAAACAAAAGAATGGTCGTACATTCATCTTATTGTTACAAGGTTTCTATCATGTGTCCTAATAATCCGTTCTATAATGATCGTTGAATAAGGGGAAACTAACACTCGTTGATTTTAACAAAATTGGTCTTCCACTCTAATATTTTCCGCAATTAGTTGCGAACCTCCGTGAGGGTTGCCAGACGAACGGCTGTCTGTGTAAAGGATATTCGTTGACGACAGCCCCGTTTCCTGCAATTACACCACCACGGGCGTGCCTTTTTGAAGCCTTTCCAGCTTTACAGTAGGCTGCAGAGCGCGGGGAATTCGCAGCTCGCAGCATGCCCGTCCTTTAACCTCTTTTTGTTGTTCGAGTATTTAGCATGATAGCCATTACTGCTCATAAAGAAAGCAAATTCTTTCCCCTAACTATGCCGGGACGATAGTTTACAATTCTAAAAATGTTTGTATGATATGTAAAAAGGAGCATGAATTCAATAACTGTAACGAAACTTTTTTCCTGCTCTTTCAGTATCCATCAAAGCAGAATTTGTAGATTGCTCGACCAAGACAACTTAAAAGAAAAGGAGAACGAGTAACTGATGAGCAAGTGCCTGAACTGAAGATTAAAAATGGAAAAAAGATGAGAAATGCGGAAGAGCTTGAAGGACGGGGGTGCTGCGAGCTGCGAATTCCCTGCGCGCTTTAGCATACTGTAAAGCTGGAAAGGCTTCAAAAAAGCACGTCCGCGGTGGTGTAAATGCACGAAACGGGGCTGTCGTCAACGAATATCCTTTAAAGGAGCGGTCATGTAAGCTTTAAAGTTGAAAGATGCACGAAAGGTGCGTCTGCACTTGCTCCGAAATGGACCGACGTTTTCGTCAGAGAATTTGACGTGGACAATTAAGCTTTTTCTTATGACATAAGAAATACCATTGATGTTATATCTCAAGTAACTTCCTTATTGCTGTAGTCCTGTGGGCCGTATTTATCAACGAATACATTGGGTTCCGGAACCCACTGGATAGGCTCAACCCACTAGACCGGTATTCACGAAGCTAATGGGTTAGCAAACCCGGCAGTGCTTTTGGTGAATATCGATCCTACCCTATAGGTTCGCAAAATCACGAAATCGCAGTAAAAATTATTACTTCCAAAAAGTTCTATTTCGTTCCCTTTTAGTTTTTTTTTTCTAGACCCTTTCAGTGGCCGTATTCATCAGGATTGAGGAACCCATTGGGTTCACTGATGAATACGGCCACTGAAAGGGTCTAGAAAAAAAACTTAAAGGAAAGGGAACGAAACAGAAGTTTTTGGAGGTAACACTTTTTTGAACTGGTGATCAGCAAGCCTAGAGCGCCTGTTTGCTGTTAAACAAGTATTTTGATTTACTATTGGTTTTCATACGAAAACAAACGCCACTGCACCTTCTAGGAAACAAAGAACGGCAACCAATATTTTCCTTTCTGAAATTTAAGTTAAAGATCTGATTAAGCTGCCTATAGAATTGCTTTTGTTCATGAATGGACATGAAATATCATTGTACACAGCTCTAAAGTCCAGCACAATGTTCGTAACTATCTAGTATTCAGAATCTAGCATGCAGCTATTCTTGCTTCCTTTGACCAGGCTGCCATCCTTGTATTTTTGTGCGCGTAGTCGAGTAGGGAACGTACTTCTTATCCCTGAAAACGAAGCTTATTTAATCGTCACAAGCAGCTATCATCTTCATGATAGTGCGCGCGTATGTACCTGAAGATTTCACTTTTTTGAGAAGTAAATACAGACTTTTTCCAACGTCGGGTAATATGAAGAGTAAAACCAGTATAGAAATTCCTTTCAATTTCTTCGAAGTTAAGGAGATTACAAGTCGTTTCAAAATCAGGGATACAACGTTTTTGAAAAAGTTGGACTCCAAAAATACTGTAGAGTACCAACATGAAGATATGTCAATCAGCGGAGAATTAGGAGCTACGTCTCAGGTCCGTATACATTTCTCTGCCGGCGTCAGGAGAAGCCCCCCCCCCCCCCCCCAGCAAACGCAGCTGCCGCTTCCACTAAGGGGGCGCCGCTCCCCTTACCGCATGGATTTTTGCACAAGGGAGCTTGGTGTAGTGCACACATATTTCCATTCACCTATCAGACTATATAGAAGTTGATCAGACTCACGGAAAGATTGAGAGGTTTTCCTCGTGTTGTAAAACCCATCTCTCGGTTTTCAGCGGCTTTTGTTCGGGTGTTTCATCGGTTATATGGTGTAGCCAACGATGCCTGAAGAAGTGCATGCCTTAAAGCAGCAGTATTGATGCATAGATACGATATATGCTCTGCTCTAAGAAAAGCAGAGAACTGAGAAAACTTACCACTCTGGAGGGACTTGAGTTGGATCGTAATCTAGCCATACCTGGAAGTTTGCATGTTACAGCCTTACTCAACACAAGATTTGGTAACTGCAACCATCTCAAAAGCATATATCGGACAGATCCTGCCTAGTGTTAGGTAGAAAAAAGCATTTTATCCCTTATGAAATCATCACAGAGTACAGCTGTGTATGCGCTGCATTCATCTGCATGGAAACGCGATGACACGCCTTTTAGTAAACAAGATCTATCTAATTTACACATGATATGAAGCCGTTACTAGCTATCTACTGATTCTAAAAAAACAAGCATACGATTGATTCCCAATTTCTGTGCGCTTATACTGAACGACAAAAAAAAAACCAGCAAACTGTTGATTTGAAAAAAGCAATATCGAAAACTCCACATGCTACCAGTGAAACGAAAAGTAAATCAATGAATACGGGAAAGCATGATATGGTAAAAGCCGAACATGTGTGGGCAAAGTGACAACCTACCTTGTCTGGATATTCCACCCATCTATTACGCGGCATGAAGTAGGAATTGTCTTCATAATATCTGTTGCCAAATTTGTCGGTTCCTTTAAGAGTACCAACACGGGTGACATCCATCCTGCAAATCCGAATTTGAAATTATTACAAGATAAAAGATGCAAACAAGCCACTGTTTCATACGGATTTCTTGAACCCTACTCACAAGTATCGCTTCTTCAAAGCTGCCCTAACTCCTCCCATTTGTTTCACAATTCTAAACAACTTTTGTATCTTGTCGATGCCCAACCATTCTTTGAGAGACATCTACAAATGATTGATGAGATCAAAACAGATATGACAAGGTGATTCGCGAAATATAATTAAATCAGAATAATTTCATAAATTCTACGCGTCTAGCAACAACGCTACAAAGAGCAAACATTATTGTAGAACCGATGGACTCTATACCATCAAACATCAGTACCAGTCTTTATCGAAAGCTTTATTGCTTACAATATTTACAGCCCAGTACCATTCAAATCCGTTGGTAGTCTTACACGTCAAATAACTCATGATGCCGTTCCTTTGAACGAGAATCAAACGTAGAAACTGTGAAGTTTTTGAGTAGCTTGTGACTCCAAACAAATTGATAATTCATGTGCACAGCTTGACGACCACAACAGAGTTGAGAAGACCGGCATCTTTGAGACCCACAGACTCGTCATCAATGACCTAAAATTACCAGAAAATTACTCGACAAGGCGCTATTTCAAACGATCGGAACAAATCTGCTACATATGAGGAGTGCATGTACGAGTCCTCAAGATGGGTGAGGACCTTTTCATTTTCAAAATACCGCCCTTCAGCACTAAGATTTCGGATTATTATGAAACGCTGAATGAGATGATTTCCGGTATCTTGTTTCCAACAAGTCACTGATTATCTTGGCAAGCACATCTCGTCATCTCCGAAGCGCAATATGAACAAATCTTCTTATATATAAAGCTGAATGTCTGTTTGTCTGTCTGTATGTATGTCTGTACGTATGTTCCGAATAGAAAATTCCATTTCTGAACCGATCCGAACCAAACTTGGCACACATACACTACGGGCCCCGGCGGCTGTCACAGGCTACTTTTCGTTATCGATAGATATCGACTTTATCGATTTTTATCGATTTTTTTGCTGAGTTCACCTACGGGGCTGGGAGTTGGCACAGGGGGGTAATCGAGCATGGGGATTCCGAATACAATATTGGTTTTCAGGATTATCGATTACTTTTATCGATTTTATCGATTTTTTTGCAAAGTTTGAGCTACGGGGCTGGGAGTTGGCACAGGGGGGTAATCGAGCATGGGGATTCCGAATACAATATTGGTTTTCAGAATTATCGATTACTTTTATCGATTTTATCGATTTTTTGCAAAGTTTGAGCTACGGGGCTGGGAGTTCGCAAGGGGGGTAATCGAGCATGGGGATTCCGAATACAATATTGGTTTTCGGGATTATCGATTACTTTTATCGATTTTATCGATTTTTTGCAAATTTTGAGCTAGGGGGCTGGGAGTTGGCACAGGGGGGTAATCGAGCATGCTGATCATCCCCAAGGGGGTGATCAGCATGCTCGGTTACCCCCCTGTGCCAAATTCCAGCCCCGTAGCTCAAATTTTCAAAAAATCGATAAAATCGATAAAAGTAATGGACGATCTTGAAAACTAATATTGTATTCGTAATCTGCATGCTCGATTACCCCCCTGTGCAAACTCCCAGCCCCGCAGGTCAAACTTTACAAAAAAAATCGACAAAATCGATAAAAGTAATGGACGATCCTGAAAACTAATATTGTATTCGTAATCTGCATGCTCGATTACCCCCCTGTGCAAACTCCCAGCCCCGCAGGTCAAACTTTACAAAAAAAATCGACAAAATCGATAAAAGTAATGGACGATCCTGAAAACTAATATTGTATTCGTAATCTGCATGCTCGATTACCCCCCTGTGCAAACTCCCAGCCCCGCAGGTCAAACTTTACAAAAAATCGATAAAATCAATAAAAGTAATCGATAATTCTGAAAACTAATATTGTGTTCGGAATCCCCATGCTCACTTCCCCCCCTGTGCCAACTCCTAGCCCTGTAGGTGAACTCTGCAAAAAAATCGATAAAAATCGGTAAAATCGACATCGATCGATAACGAACAGTGGATTGCGACACCCGCCGGGGCCCGAAGTGTATGTGTGCCAAGTTTGGTCCGGATACGGCGGAGCCGGGTAAGCCAGCTAGTAAGTTATATGGAAGCTGCAGCGATTTTGATCCCTCCCATCTATGAAAAGTGTTCATGCTGAGTAGCAGAGCCATTCAAAGTGGATGCGGTGCAGGAGGAACCAAAGGCCTGCCGCCTGTAGCCGTAGGAGATAATTAAGAGGGCGAGCGCTGTGAAGAAGATTTTGGCAAGGATCCAGGGAACCTTGGCCAGGACATCCATTAGAAACAAACCCTTATAACTCTCCTTGGAATCAAGTTTCAAGGATATGAAGGACAGATTTGGAATCAGTATTGAAATACGCATTTTTCAATAATACGCTTACCGGATAGTTGAACAACTCTGTCTCGCAACTATTTTTAACAAAAACTGTGCCTTCAAAATTCACCATTCTAAACCGAAATTTCAAGCTAAATGTTGGGTGAAAATTCCAACTGAATTATAGTGATTTGGATACGAAGTTGAAAGCATGAAATGGTAACAAGGAAATAATGTTAACTAAGTTGCATGTGATGAACTTTTGCTACTGTGTACGACCTAAAGGATTACCGACATAGTTTCAATGGCAAATCTTATGCAGTCTCTAATGTCAAAATTTAAAAGAATGGGTTTGAAGCTATGAGACAAACTTATTGCATTTTGACACAAACCTCCAGATGTGTTCTTATGACATTTTAATTGCTTTTCATTGAATCAAAAGGTAAAATAATTCTTTATCTCGAAGAAGAATTTTGAATGAAAACCCCGGTCTTCAACTTTGAAACTTCAAAACTCAAAACAAAAAGTTTCTGTAAGGTAGTTGACTTTTATTATACAACAATTCCAAATTTTCATTTACTTTTAGGCCCAGTGAATGCGCCTTCCAATTTGCATTACAAATATTTTTTTAAATTTTTCAAAGTCATCTCCAGGAAAAATTATGAAGATTTCTTCCTAAAGGATGTCTTGCCGAGTTTTCTTGGATCCCTGCCAAAATATTCTCCACAACGCTCGCGCTCTTAATTATCTCCTGCGGATACAGGCGGCAGCCCTTTGGTTCCTCCTGCACCACCCCCATTCAAAGTTATATATGTGAATGAGAACATAGATAAATTAGAACTCTCCGTTCTCTCCCAAGGACTTCTGCATGCATAAAGACATGAGCTGGAATGATACAGAACAAAAACATTGACTGAAAACCCACCTTATTTGGGAAAGTGGTCATGAGCTGGAAAGCGGTAAAAGCCATGTCAGGGTAAGCTCTGGAATATTCAACGCTATGTACTGTACCACTGTAGGTTATACATCAATGATAATGGATGCCAGCGGGGGACACAGAAATTTTCGCATGAGGGGAGTCTAGTGGGAAAGCGAAATGGAATTTCTTCTGAAATCAAAAGCGTGGCGTTGAGGGTTCCGTCCAAAGAATTTCCAAATTTCAGCAAGTTTTGATCCACAAAAACGTTACAAACCTAGCAGAGCTTTTGAGAGCATTTTGCAACTCACACATGCAAGGGAAGAGAAGAGCCTTCCAGCCCCCCCCCCCCCCCCGATTCGCCACTGTTAAATACTTACGTGACGAGGAAGGTCCTAATTGCAGACACAGTATGGGCGTGATTGAATTTCCCACTCACTCTCTGACCATTAGGCAGTCGAATTTGTATCTGAAAGTTGGTTGGCATGTTCACGATATTTTATAAAACAGAATACCGAAATCAGTGACACAAGAAATCCTTAGAAAAAAGAGCACCTGAGTTATGGGAGAATTATTATCCACGTTAACTTCTGCTTGCGCCTTTGCAACGTTGTCGGTACTGTCTATATCAAATCAAGTAATACAGATAAGAACCAAGTAATACAAATAAGAAACTTGGAATGTATCGCACAATAACGAAAATGTAAAAAAAGCAAACCCTTAGTTGCAGAAGACGAGGGTGGATTGGAAGAGGGTGGATTGGAAGAAGACGACACAACTTGAGGAACAACTGCGCCAAGACGTACACCGGCTCCCTACAAAGCTAGCGTAAGATGTAGAATTCACAACTCAGATTTAGGGCAGTCAATGGGGATGATGGGCAAAACCAAATGTAATGCAGTTCGCTCGCACAATGGCTTCATTCTAGCTATAGGGAGAAAGTTGGAAGCAGCTAGAATTTCTGATTCTAGAATAGCACAGCAAGCACTTTAGACCCAGTTTACTATATACTGTTAATACAGAAGAAAAAAAAAAGATTTTTTGGCCATTAATTTTCCATTTCGGTAAGTATTCTGTACGCCTGCCGTTACAAGCCCCTACACGGCGCTAAACAAAAATCCAGTTTGAAACCGTGTAGAAATAGCTTAACAACGAGTAGCAGATATCAAAAAATTGGGTACACGAGCGCATTAGCACTATTGCATATTATGAAACTGATAAGACCTCTAGTAACCTTCTGCATTTGAAGAAAAAGATATAAAAGGTCGCGGTTTGACCATCCAGATTCGATCATGCATGTGAGGGAGGGTGATTAGATGTGTCAGGGAGGATCCTACAGTCGTTGTAGTCGTACAAGGTATGAGTCAACAGCTATTTTTTCGGAATTAACCCACTACAGTACGCTATAACATTTAACCTGGAAAGGTTTCAATTTCGGTGGTTCGTACGGCCCAGCTCTCCTTTGCATTCGTAAGTCGATGCGACGGCGAGGATGTGCTGCTAGCAGTTCTGGAGGCACACGCCTGAAATATTGTGTGATATTCTCTCCATTCATTCGTCGAACCTTTTCAACTATCAAGCAGTTTCAATCATCACTAGCGGGCAAAACAGGTAACCGCGAAAAAAATCTTCGAAGTGGGTCGCTTCCTTGAAGCTATGCTGTCAACTTTCGATGAAAACACCAACAAGTCCGTCGCATAGCCTAGGTCTAGAGATTCTTAGAGCGCAAGCGAAAGAAAGTAACGGGGTGCCGTTCATGTGTACATAGAGGAATCTCACGTACTACTAAATAAGATAAACAAACCCCTGCATGATGCTTTCGAGGAACTGTCGACTCTCAGGCTCATCAAATGTACGCAGTGGTCCGTCGTCGATAGAAAACCCGTTCTCCCACATAAACAATTCAACAACAACCTAAATCATTACATGCGTAAAATCTGCGCATCCCAAGCCACAACAACCTCTTCATCATCATTTGCGTCGCTTTCTCCACTACTCGATCCGTCCACGGCTGGAGTGACAGAGTCACCTAGGCGCACACCAGTGCGACGAGTACGTGAATGAGTCTAAAACACTTCAGTAACGGTCAGATTTAGCAAACTATGCCGCTGCAACGACGTCCAGTAAGATTTCCGAATATCGAACCACTATTTTGTACTTACACTGTAATGGCATGTCCCTACGGCACTGAGACTAGATTTAAACGATTGTGCAACTCACTTGCGGCGATGCGCCACTTCCACTCAACGTTTCGGCTCCATGCTGACGAGCAGCATCGAAGACGCGCTCTACCACGTTTGCATTGTCACGATGAGGGCGATCAGGTCCCAGAACTTGCTGACCGCTGAAGAGCAAAGTTTCATCAAATCTTCATCGTTATTAATTGTTGAAGGTTTGAGCGTGCCTGTGAGCAAGCTTTTTCGAAATAATCCTACAAAATTCGCAATATGTTAGCGCCAGTGTGGCACAAATTCTAATGGAAACCTCGGAATAAAGCTCGACTCTCCGAACAGAACGCGGGCTAAAAATCACAACACAGCCAAATGTACTGTGCAACAATTGAGTCAGGAGAGATAATAACTGTTTCACCACCTGCAAGACTAAACTTAAGTCTTGCTGGGACAGTTTATTGCAATAGTGTTTGCTCAGACAGTCGATCGGACCCCTCCGACTTTCTGTCCCGGACCCCTCCGATTTTCTGCTCCGCGGCTCGTCCAAATCTGGCGGACTCGCGGCGGGCAAATCTCTGCGCCGCGACCCCAGCAAATCTGGCGTACTTGCAGTGGAGAGATTTGCAAGCCCGCCGGAGGGGTCCGATCTGCTTTCTTTGTGACGTCACAAGAAGGGACCGCCCCCTCGCAAGGCTCTCATTGGTCAACTGGGTCCGCCGCGGCTCTGGCAGATTTCGACTGTCCGCCGGAGGGGTCCGATCGACTGTCTGAGTGGGCACCTGTCCCCATTAGGCACTTGAAGGATCTTAATTGCTGAGTTTCTCAGAAGCGACTTCTTGAATCGCATAGGTGTGCTTTCTGAACGCATGCATATAGGGCCTTCAAAAATTGCGACCATGGGGAGTTGGCCGCGCGCGTGGCGTACGCAGTTTTGGCAACCGCCTTCTCTTGCTTCCGACTATAGTCGAATGGCTTTTCGTCATGTATATAATAGCTTCAGGAGAGAAAGGCAGATAGATAATGTAAGTACTGGAGTGAATAAGCTAGCACTGAAGTGATGAGTTCTGTTCGAGCGTTTTACGCCTTTTTTGCTGTTTGTATGGTAAAGAACGAATTCGTCATCACAATTTTATGAGCGCCCATACACCGCGCCACCTCGAAAAAGGAAGCCATCTAAACACATGGAAAGACTGCAAGACGTTTCACTCATGACCAACATGTATCTGAACATTTGATAGCTATCGTTGTGCTGAACGATACCATGAAAACCTGAGCGCAAAATGAAGATAATATTGTGCTATGAAATCTAATATTGTCGTGTAAATTTTTGCTTTCATATTTGGCAATTCTTTGCTTTCATATTTACAGTCATGATTTATTGTCTGGTCCGAATTCGAGCAAGAAAGCGGTAAAAAAGCATGGAGAATCGTAGTGAAGGCAACTCAGCACCCGGCGGAATCCAAAATGCGGGCTGCGAAAGAGAAGTGAAGACTAGATGCAGGACGAAACTATACTTGCACTAATGGGTGATATTATGTGAAACATCTCACAAAAGAGGCCTCTACAAGAAGATACCATCGCATGTCCGTTCATGACCTTCCTGCTTCTCATGTCCGTTCATGACCTTCCTGCTTCTCTTTCCTGGACTAGAGGAATGTGAAACTCGCTTCATCATTGTTTCACAAATATCAGCAAGGTCGCCCCTCTACGAGTACTACGATGGAAAATTCTGCACCCTGACGTCATATTGCTAGGGCAATTAGAAACTTTGAGAAAAAACTAAGTTTAGATTTGTGATGGGTTGCTGGACATGCTTTTTCTGAAAATGAACTATGAGCGCTTCATATCAAGCAGTCTAGTACAACTGCACCTCTGAAGTTTTCCAAAAGACCAACTTCAGCTGACCACAGCATGCCCGGCTCTCTGCGCTTTATTGCCGAAAGACTCGGTCAGCGATGAGGCAGCTGTTCCATTCTATACTGTGAAAGTGAGGTAATGCTAGCTCTTATGGTACGTTATGTGCGAGAAAATGATAGGGATACCGATGATTAGTTATCACTGGATATGTGAGCGCCTTTGAGACATCCCGCGCAACAAAATCATGGATGATCAACGAAGTTATGGGAATAATGTACTAACCTGTGCTCCGAACCACCGACGTAGAAACCCTGTCGTTCTCCACCACCGTCTGATTCTTCCCCGCTATCATGTTCCCCTTTTTTCAAGTCGCTAAGTGTAGCCATCCTATGATAAAGTTAAAATACTAACCGGAGCAGAACACGACAATGTAAAACTCACTTCCTGCTCATTTTCAAAGTGCTGTCGTTTGACTAATCAGAGTGGAACGATATCGATGTAAGGAATTGAAAAATGTGAAACGATAGCGGCTTTCCAATGACAATCCCGGAATCTCCGTCAATTGCAATGTGGTGACTGCGCTCACAGAAAGTGCGTACCCCTCTCGCGTTAATTTTGCGCACGATTGCCTCTTCAGCTACAGGACCGCGCAAAATTAATGTTAATTCTGCGCGCCTTCCGCAGCTGAACAAAATTGTAGCTTAGTCCTGCGCCTACCTTAGACACGAGATGGAAGATATAATACAGCAACCCAACGGCTGATTTCGCGATAGAGCGCGAATTACGATTGGAGCAGGTTTTCATCTCAATCCTTCAAAAGCATCCAAGTTGTGTACGAATGGAAGTTCAACAAACAGACAAGCGAGAAAAAGCAGCTTATCCACATCCCCAAAAATTCAAAAAATTTTTCCATCTTAGAGGGCACTAGCTGGCTTGCCCGGCTCCGCCGGGCCTGCCAGCTAGACCCGTGTACGTATGTTCCGGATAGAAATGTTTATTTCTGAACCGATTGGGACCGAACTTTGCACACATACTCTTCGGGGCAGGGAGCCTGTCACAGTCCACTTTTCGTTATCGATCGATGTCGATTTTACCGATTTTTTGCAAAATTTGAGCTAGGGGGCTAGGATTTTGCACAGGGGGGTAATCGAGCATGCTGATCACCCCCTTCGGGGTGATCAGCATGCTCGATTACCCCCCTCTGCCAAATCCCAGCCCTCTAGCTCGAATTTTGCAAAAAATCGATAAAATCGATATCGATCGATAACGAAAAGTAGCCTATGACACGCTCCCTGCCCCGAAGTATATGTGTGCCAAGTTTGGTCCAAATCGGTTCAGAAATAAAAATTTCTATTCCGCACATACGTACAGACATACAGACAGACAGACAGACATTCAGCTTTATATATAAGATGAGCATAAACTGCTGCTAAGGACAAAGCTGTCTCAAATTTGGCGGTAGTTGAGAGCTGATACTTCTAGTATGAACAAGCCCACGAGGTTTATGATTATTCGAACCAAATTCCAATTCAGCCTCATTCTCGTGCATCATTAGCTGCTTTCCACATAGAACGTGCGAGAGTGGGTAGGAGCCAAAACCATCTCTGATAGTCTCATCTTTATCCAAATACATCGACGGTAGAGAAGAAAATGTAAGAAAAAGCAACGTATAAGGAAAACAGTGCCTTATATGATGAATGCTTGTTATGCAGAACAATCGGGTAACTGCGACCAGCCAAAAGTATCTTTTTGCGAAATGTTGCAGTTGTTCCAATTTGTTCCAGTTTTAAAAAAGTGTGACGGTATGACTACAACACACCGAGAACTTCCCCAACTCACTAACAGATGTTATCGAACTTTTGAGAGCAGTGCAAGCCTTTCTAATGGCTTGTAAGCTGGTGAGGAGCTACTCCTCAGTAAGACCATCTAACTTGACCAACTTTGCCATTGTTTGCCTTGCAACAACGTCATTGAGGATATCTGCAAAATGAATATGCAGCATGATTGGTTCTAGCAAACTCACATAGTTATACGATCTTTTCAGTCATCCCTCTGATAAAATCGCTTCACAGTTGGTTTGTGAAGGATTCCAAGCATGGTCAAGCTTGTGATGCGACTCTCGCAACGGGGGGTCGTAAGAGGGTATCTAAGGTGTGGGGGGGGGGGGGTCGTAAGAGGAGACAGTTAGGTTAAAATAGCCTAGGCTTCAAAGGGAATCAAAAACAGGCAATTAGTTATGTTCTTTACAATAAATCTGTAAAAAAGTGGAAATTAGAATAAAAAAGATAAAAAATCTGGGGAAATTCTAAAAAAAACCCATTTACAAGAGCTCAAAACACTTTTGAAGGATGTATTTTTGATAAAAATGCTAAATGTACCGATTGCCCTGGAAATCTTGTTTCCGAAGCCTTCCTGAAGTCTCACACACTCGACAAAAGCGAATGTCTTTACCAGCTGTGACCATCATAAAATTCTAAATCTTTTTGTAATGCTTTTCACGGGCTCATATGATTTATTTGTACTTTTGAAAAGCTCCGCTATATCAGTGCAAAATTTGGTGTTATTTTGTCAACTGTGGATTTTCTTATGATTTTATGTATGATAGCAAAAAGTCAGGAAAGGGGGGTCGTATCTGGGTCGCATCTAAATTTCTTCGGAGCTATTGAAGCTTGTTGGCTGCAATCTTGCTGTAATATGAGGCCATCCTCCTACTTTCCCTCATAAAAATTGCAGGCTGTTTTATAACTTCTCTGGTAAGTTACAAAATTTTAAGCTCAAAAATCCCAGTTTTTGCTTTTTAGGATCGCATCTAAATTTGCGAGAGTCGCATCTAAATTTTTTCGAGCTTACGGCTCTTCAAGAGCTGAAACTTTTTCTTTGGATAGTCTGGGCACTATAGTACAGAACCTGTGCTTTACAGCCTCTCAGTCTTTTCCTGGCCTTAGTTACGAATTTTCAAACTACCGTGCTCATGCACGTTTTTGACGTCGTTCTGGATGGCGCTCAAGCGGTTTTTTTTTTCGCGGGAAAAACTGTGAAAGAGGTAAAATGTAAGCTTCTTAGTCGAAAACATCTTTTGTAGTTTAAGAATTCCTTTTCTTCTCCGTGCAAAAAATTTGTGTCGCCTACGGGAATCGAATTTGCTGGCCTGAAGTATGCCTGAAAATTCAAAAAAATTTGCAGAATCTCAAACATTATTAAAAGTGTGTATGTGTGCTACAGATGATGGACGCACCCATTGGCCTAAAATTCTGCTTCCGAAACCTCACTGAAGTTCTCACGCAGGTGTTTTTTGAGTTTGACATTCATTTATGCAGGTTACCGCGAGGAATGTGGGCAGGGGAGGTAAGGGGGATAAATGGGTGAGAGTGGGGAGGGGGAAGGGGTGGGGTTGAGTCGTACGGATGGGTACCCTCAAGGGGGGGGGGGGTCGTAAATGAGGGTCCCGGATCGCATCAGCACGCTTGACCCTGATTCCAAGTGTGAAAAACATAGCGCACTTCCCATATAACTTTCATAACTGTGATCTGAGCACGCAAAGCATAGCTGGACATGACAGTAATACGATAGGTATACATAAATTCTTTCCAACCTTCCCTATTCTGTTCATCGCACGGACCGACTTCGGCGTAGAGGTGGAGGGGTTTGCTGCCTTGTTAAGGAGGAATTCGCTGTAGAGCGAGTACGCTTTGCTTATGACGGTAACTCTGAAGTTCTCTGCCTCAACATTTGGTCATCCTGCTCCCTCTCACCTTTGAGGTTTGTTGTTATTTATCGTCCGCCCTCGTCAGATGCCAGTGATGATGACATTCTAGGCAATGCTATACATGACCTTTGCTCACTCCCAGCCGAAACTATTGTATTGGGAGACTTCAACATAGATGCCTTGTCCTCAGATTTTCACAAAAATCGACTTGTAGCATTCTTGCATGATTGTGATCTCCAACAGCTAGTTACCTGCCCAACCCGCATTAGATCAGCCATTGATCTGATATTTACATCCTATAGTCTAGTTAGCAACATCAAAACTCTTCCTCCTTTTGGCTCATCAGATCACAACATAATATCTTTTGATGCCGCCTTTTCAAATTCTTTCAAAAATACTTTCCTCCCATATCCGGACTTTCGTAAAGCAGATTTCTCAGAAATAAGTACATCATTGCAAAATATTGATTGGTTCGATCTTTTCAAGGACTTGGCATCTGTTGATGATCTCTACTACTGCTTTTGTAAAACACTATACTCGACTTTTTCAAGATTTGTACCGTTTCGTTTCAAGCCTTTCGGACTAGAAAATTATCCTACACATATCCAAAATCTTCTTCACCAGAAATCTCGTCTATTTTCGAACTTATCTGACCCCTTGAGTGATGATGAGTATAGAAAAGTTTGTGCAGATATCAATCATCATATTAAGAAATTTTTAGCTAACCGAGAACGACGCCTCTCTAGATACAATTTCAAAGAGCTTTATGGATACCTGAGATTCAAGATGAAAGGTCAGCAGAAAATTTCTAATTTGCTAGATGAGCAGGGCAACGTTATCAAAGGTGACAGAGAGAAAGCAGAAGCGCTAGGAAAATTTTTTGCCTGCTATTTTACCGAAGAAGAACCGATTCATGAAGAAACATATTACCACCTTACATCTACTCGCACATCGTCTTGCTGCCCAGATCTGTTCATTGATCCTACAAAAGTCTACAACATCTTGAAAAAACTCAAAGCTACAACGACCGCAGCATATGACGGTATTCCTCAAATTGTGTATCGCAGATGCGCTGGTGCTTTGGCTTTCCCTCTGTCTATTATTTTCAATGCCTCTCTTTCTCTTGGTGTAGTGCCTGCCATTTGGAAGGAGGCACTAGTAACAGCTATTCCTAAACGAGAGCATAGTAGTGCCCTCTCCAATTTTCGCCCAATCAGCATAACTGCAACATCCGGAAAAATACTCGAGAAGATTATAAAAAACGTCCTTTTTGAATGGTTGCAAGACAACGATATTTTGCCGGCAGCTCAAATGGGCTTCCTCCCTGGGGGGTCCACTACTGCGTTACTCACGGATTCCGTTTTTGATTGGTTAAGCGCTTTGAACGTTGGCAAATCTGTTGATATTATATTCTTTGATTTATCCAAGGCATTTGATAGAGTTGATCACTCTAAACTACTATCCAAACTTGAAAATTTCGGAATCCGCGGACGACTGCTATCTTGGTTTGGGTCTTACCTACATGACAGAGGTATGACGGTTCGTGTAGGGACCGAATTCTCAAGCAGATTTTCATGCAGCAGTGGAGTACCCCAGGGCGGCATACTTTCGCCTCTCCTTTTCCTCACATACACAGCAGATTTACCATCATATCTGCAGACTCATCCCAACATCAAGGTGCAGATTTTTGCAGATGACATAAAGATTTATTTTTGCTATACTGATGAGCAACAATTTGAAGCACATGAAGCCATTAACTCATCTATACAACAAATGATCGCATGGTCTAAAATTTGGAAGCTTCCTGTTAATGCTTTGAAATCAAAAGTGATGCACCTTGGTAATGCACCATACCATGCCTATACATGTGAGGATGTTGAGTTAGAATTATGCAATGTTGCTAGAGACTTAGGGGTTTTTGTCGATGACCAACTGAATTTTTCTCTTCACTTTGATTCGGTCTCCAAAAAAGCGCTGGCCGTACTCTTTGTTTTATTCCGAAGTATTCATAACAATGATGCAGGGCTTTTTGTGAGGTTATATAAAACGTATGTTTTGCCACTTTTGGAATATGCATCCCCTGTTTGGAACCCATTCAAGAAAAAGGACATCGAGAAGCTAGAAAGAGTACAAAGAGTATTCACTAAAGTCGTTTTCTATAGATGCTATCCCAAAAGCGATTATCCTCAATCGCTACCAGCGTACAGATCGAGATTATCTGCTTTGGGATTGCGAAGTCTACTGTACCGAAGAATATGTAATGATCTGATATTTTGTTTCCGTGTCATCAGACTAGAAACGCGATTAAAACCAAGTAGATACTGGGTCTTCAGGCCTTGTGGGATGCGAATTGGAGGGCTCTGTCTGGGTTACCGCAAATTGGGAAGCAGAGTCCTTTCTAAAGCTTTCAACTCCTTTGTGTGCCGAACGGCTAGATGGCTAAGTCTCCTGCCTAAGGAAATAACTACTTGTACGAGCTCTGCTGATTTCCGCAAGAGACTAGCCGCGATTAACGTTTTGCAATCACTGAATATCGCTGATGTTAGCTAAAAATTTATGCATTCGTGAGACTCAGACTAGTACCTTTTTTTACCCAAATGGTAATTAAATACATAATGCTCTGATTGATTTTTGTACCTTTATATTATGGGCGATCATAGCGTGCTTTCCTCGCGTCGAGTAGCCGTTTGAGGAGATCAAAAGTTGGTGAGCCCCTCTTCCTTGAGGTCCCCCCTCTCCTTTCGCCCGGGGTCCTTGACGGATTCGTCCGCCCTAGGTTAAGTCGGTCAGCCGAGCCCCGGTGCTTGTGACCTCATTTAGTTGCGTCTGGAGTAGGGAACAGGATCTCGGAAAATGACCCTCACCTTCTGAAGAAGGAGAACGACCTGAACGCCTCGCAGGGACTGTTATGACTACGACACCGCACCAGAGCATTACTTTTCTTCTGTCGTGTTCATGTTGTGTTTATTTTTTTTTCGTGTTTTTGCAGTTTTAGTTTTTGGTTGAGTTTTTGGAACACCAGTGAGTGTATTACATAAATAAATAAATAAATAAATGAATATCAGTGCCACGTATGAGGTGAGGCAAGGAACACCTTGAGGTATAGATCAGTGAAAATTGCAGGAGTTGTGCTGAGGGCGGTCTTGGTCTCCGGCCTCAGCACCTCCGTGATCTCCAACGGCTATTTCAGTTGCGCCGCCACCTCGCAGACACTCAGCGGATTCGCCTAAAGTATCTCCACTTTTTATTTTGTTCGCATTCCTCTGATAATAATGTGCTGTTTATCGGTTGCTTTTCATAGTAGTTCCTTCGTTTGTTGTTGGTAGTCGTAGTCAAAACCATGATTTGGTGCTGTGATCAGGTCCAGTTTACTCACTTATGCATACTCACTTGTTCGTTCGTCATTCGTTTGCCATGCTATTTTTCGATTTGTTAGTAACAATAAAGGGTGAAATTACCCAAGTCTGAGGTGTTGACGTGTGCTGGCGGTTCCTCTGCAAGTACCTCGCGGTGCATTCTGGTATTCTCTGTTGCTATACCATTACTTCAGCGACCCGCGTGGCATTCATTATCTAAAGCAGTACGAATCCGCGAAGCCCCAACTTCCAACAAAGCAAGGACGACTATCTCGAAAGATGGAATCCAGCTGACCTTTCTATTTTGCTTTGTCGTTTCTTTGGATTAGTTCTTCGCTTTTGAGTATGGTTACCACCCATTTTCTCTTCATCTTTTCCCTGGGGGCCAGCTGAAAATTTGGTGCATCGGCTCACTCGAATTTCTGGGCCGATCAATACTGATTAGTGGACAAGCCCGCCTAGCCGAAGATCAACGAGGACTGGAAGGTGACGAAATCGTTCGAGGAGACGAAGACGTAGGATGGGGCCATCGTTCAAACCATACAAAACTAGGATGAAGAAGTTGGGGAAAATACTTAAGGAGCTGATAGGAGGTTCCCAACATATGATCGCCTTCGAAATCTCCATTACGGAAAGCGAAGAGGAGACGATAGATCTTTTACGAACCAGGATAAAATCAATACAACACACCGCCACGCCAACATCTCTACAACCAAAGCTGTACTGGATTTAGCGGTCCCCAGTTATCAAAAAGCCTTCAATACGCTGTCAATAGGAAGGGAGGACATCCCAAGAAACTTACCTGGATCATGCTTGATCTGACAGCAACAGCAATGTCTCTACTCAACAGACGAAAAAGAGACAGAACTTTCTTCACGCCAGACAACCTGACCCAAGCCAAGAAGAAGAGAGAGACAACTCGAAGCCGCCGCTATACCTCAATCATCTATCAAGTCGTCAAGATGGACAACGCCGCTGCCATATACAAACTAGCTGTAGGCAATGCTGCTTAGGCTGCAACTTTAAGTTCAGTGGAAGACGCTAAGAATGGGGGTCCTTTTGGGCCAAATCCAAGCTACCGTAGACGAACAACCAGTCCCCACGATGATCAAGTTCAATTCTCTAGGCACTCGTAGGAGAGGCTAGACAGACAGCAGCGCAGTTCCAGGTGGCAGAAGCAAGTTGCCAACTTGTTATCGACAAACTCAAGAACAAGTATGGCGAAGACACGTCCGTAATCGAAGACCTATTTGCTGCGACTCGAAACCACCAGGGCCGATGGAATATCCACCAAACAGCAAGCAAACCTGCTTGAACGGGTTACAGCCATCTTGACGCAATTAACCGCAAAAGGCCAGGATGTCAATCAAAGACTAGTACTTATTCTAGTCTTACGAAAATTCTGTACTGAAGTGCAAACGAAAGCACTCGAAGGGCGAGGGAGGCTTACAGAAACTCAGCAATGGACATGGTCAGTTTTGCACAAGGAATTCAAGACATTATCAACACTAAAGAGGGTATAGAAAGGAGTCAAGAGCTGATCTCAAAGCCTCATACGCCACCCTCTCCCCTCAGGGGAGGAGCTCAGGAGAAGCGCCCGATACCAGCCTGCATCTACTGTAAACGAAGTAACCATCGATTATGGGAATACAGGACAGTTCCAGTATTGGAGCGGGCAGCGTTTTTGGCGAGGAATCGTCTGTGCTTAAAGGCAGTACATCGGCAGAATGAGACCCGTGACAAAACAAGATCACGGGGTAGGAGCCCCCATATGGAACCTATCGGCCAAAGTCCGATCTTTCTCTGCCACTTCTAACCCCCGAAATTTCAAAGCGAAAGCAGCGCTCATCTCCTGTCCTCTCCGAACCCGCCCACCCCATGGACGAGTGAACGCGAAGCCCGTCATGGCGAAGACGCAGAGTCGTTGCGGAACCTCATGCTTATAGCATTGCGGCTGGCGCTCTGACCGCGGAAGTCACTCGTCCATGAGGTGGGCGGGTTCGAAGAGGAGACGAGATGAGCGCTGCTTTCGCTTTGAAATTTCGGGGGTTAGAAGTGGCAGAGAAAGACCGGACTTTGGCCGATAGGTTCTATATGGGGGCTCCTACCCTGTGACCTTGTTTTGTCACGGGTCTCATTCTGCCGATGTACTGCCTTTAAATTGTGAGAAACCAAATCACACAGCACAAAACTGTAGGTGTCAAGGATGCTTCAGATATGGACTCAAGCACCACTCATCGACGTGTAGAATACTATTACTGCCGCCAAACCATGAATAATCTACAAGAAATACAACGAAGCCGCAACAAATTAAACATCCAGCTCGAACAGTTCCTGCATCCAACGTTGGACGAATGTAGCAAATAGGAACAACATAAGCCAAACCTAGGCAATCCAGACAAAAATGGTCACTATAGAGGAATAGTGAACAGAATGGATGAGTGACTCCCAAGACGAGAGCGGAGTTAACCATGTAAGGGACAGCAATACCCAGCAAACGGGTGCACTCTCTTAACAGGAACCGCCGTCATACAAGGACTCACAGAGTCCAGACAACTCCTAGTACTCATGGACACAGGATCAGAGCTATCATTTATAGATAGAAAACTAGTAGACGAGGTCCAACTAAAGGAACTTCCACTTTACGTCTCGAGATGTTTGCAATGAAGCTGGCAAAAGAGGAGAATCACGGTATAGTACACGTGGATCTAGTACACAGAAGATGCGCTACACATCCATGCAAACTATACGACTGTCCAGTTCTGACATCCAGGACGGCGGAACCACAGCTCACAGAGGAAGACTTGAGCTACATCAAGGAACATGGCTTACAACTATCAACGAAGACCAACGAAGACATTCAACCACGCGTTCTCTTAGGATGCGATGCGACTACTTATGGGAACTGATGGATAATGAGAAGCACAACTTACCCTCGGGCATGTACCTCATTGGGACGAAGCTTAAATTCATGCACTCATGGAAAAAACACACAACGAAAGCAGAATTCATTATGCTACAAACCAGTAGCAAGGATAAGGAGTTAGATATATGGAACAACTACTGGAAGATGGAATTCTCAGGGATCGAAGAATACACAGGAACTGAGAAAGAAGACAAAAAGCTCCAAGAGGACCGAATTTTGAAGAAATTCAAGGAAACAATTGTGAGAAAATCAGATGGATATTATGTGCGGCTACCATGGAAAGAGCCTCACGAGTACCTACCAGGCAACAAATCCATCGCATTAGCCAGACTGAAGTCGCTGCTCACAAGTACGAAGATCGCGCAAAGACTTCCTACATGAGTTCGACAATATCTTCAAAATCAACTCCAGAAAAGGATTATCGAAGAAGTGGAAGAGGAAAAAACCTGCCGCCAAACCTTGACCTAAAGGCAAAGTCATCCACTATCTGGCACACCAAGCAGTGGTTAACCCAGAAAAACGAACAACCCCGAAGCGTATTGTTTTCGGCGCATCAGCTCATTATGCGGGGAAATCGTCACTCGATGATGTCCTTCACCAAGGACCCTTGACGATACTACCTAATATCTGCGGAATGCTCACGAGATTTCGAATGGGAAAGATCGCCATGACCGCAGATATAGAAAAAGCCTTCCTACAAGTGAGGTTAATGTAGAGGACCGAAATGCAACAAGATTCTTATGTTAAGAATCTAAGCGAACCGTTGAGCGAAAAAACATCGTCCTTTCCGCTTCACACGAGTGACGTTCGGTCCTATAGGGGCCTGCAGGATCGCGAGAGTCGGACCAGGCCGCAGCACGAGATGGCGTTTGAGAATTTTGTAAACGAAGTCCCCTTGACATTACAGAAGATTACGAGATACCTTTTGTGATGTTTGCAGAAATACTGCTAATAACTTGCAGCGAATGATGAGTGAATGGAAGTCATGAATAGAAAGAAAAATGGGAGATAAAACATCAACCCGTGAAAAAAGACGGTTTTTATATCATTCAAGGGCCGTAGCAAAGCAGAAAGGACGAAATTTGGGGTAAGGTAAGTCTACATAGTATAATCGAACGAAAAGTATATTTATGTAAGAAATTTTGAAAAGTTATGTGAAGAAGGGAGAAAATTATGACTTTGTTTGGTTCTGCGCAACTAAGGGTGCTCCCAGGTTGCGCGGGAGCAACTTAAATTAGAAAAACATTTACAACTCTCTCCTTTCACATAACTATTTCATAATTTTTCATACTTTCCTTTTGACCGTGGTCGCGAAGCTACACACCACATTTGATGGCTTAATTTTGCTTACCGGTTGTAAACAAACTGACTATTTATTTTTTTTGTGCATATAGATTGTGTTTTAACACATTGAAATCGTGTGCACACAGGTCTGAGCGCTTATCCTGTTTGTAACGTGTTAATTTACCTGTTACGTGTAAAATTAAGTCAGAGTTGAATTAAGGGCTCAATAAAGGTTAGCTTTCGCCCACTGATATTTGGACAGATTTCCGCGAATCCCTTTGAAAAAATTACGAGTTCCCTTTTGCTTTCCTCTAAGAAAACGACATCCAGCATGTGAAAGCGCCATCTCTGCTGAGCCCTGAGTCGGACGTGCGTACGGCCATTGCACCGCGCACGTGTGCGTCCGACGACTAGGTAGGTGCAAAACTTATCCTGTTGAACAGGTTCATTCGGTTCACACCTTTGCTGTTGGACAGTGTAGTGATTTGACTTATGAACCGAACGAACCGGCTGAAGCGGATAAGTCTGGCACCCACCTGCCTTAGTGACATCGGACGTGCGCGGTGCAATGGCCGTACGCACGTCCGACTCTCGCGATCCTGCAGGCTCCTATACATAGTCACCCTTTCTGTTTGCTACTATCAACTTCCATTTGGATGCCACAGAAAGCAGGAATGATTTCTCTTCACAAGTAAGGATACTCTGTATGTGGACAACCTCTTCAAAACGACGGATGATAGAGACAAAGCCGTCAAACAATATTAAGAAGTCAAGCGAATCTTTGACGATATCAATATGAACATGAGGGAGTTCATTACGAATGATTCAGAGGTCAGGCGACAACTTTTCCGACAATTTTTTCAGATAGAGACCGTAGCACCTTAACGAAGTGTAAGGTTTTGGGGATCGAATGGCTCACTAACGCTGACATATTAGCAGCCAGATGCGACGAGGAACCGCTAAAAAGAGTGACGAAGGAGCGATTCTACACGTCAATGCATCAGTTTTCGATCCATTACGCTGGCTTACACCGCTCACGATTGAAAACAAACACTTCTTCCAACAGTTATGGCTAGAACCCTATGGATGGGACGACTTGCTTTCTGAAGAGGACGAGGAGCAGTGGAAGAAGTTGTGGGAATCCATTGCAGGCTTCACGAAACAGTTACCAAGGCAGCTATCTATTAGGTTGTGTAATAAGTTCGTTCGCCTTTTTTTTCAACTTTTTCTCAACATTTTACAAAGCATCTGGCAAAAAGTTTGTATGCATTCGAAAGCGCTAAGTCTGCTCTACCAGATGCTGTCATTATCCTCTCAATTCTTGAGAAGCTAAATTAATAAATCGGCTACAAAACGGAAAATCCGAGAAAGCGAAAATTCTATTTTCGACAACTATATTATGTTGCCTTTTAAATGGGTTTGAACGCTTGAAAAACAGCTTGAGAAATTTGCGACGTGATGGATAGAATGCTGTTTGTCCCGCAAACTACTCATAAGCGCTAAAATTGCTCAAAAATTCATTTTATAATCTTAAAGATAATTTTGCTTTTTGACCTCTATTCGGCGTCAACATCAGGCATATGAAGGCATCATGTGAGAGGGTGATTGTCGAACAATATAGAATCGGGAAACAAGGGGGTTTTTGATTATAAAATTATCAAATATATGGGTTAATTACTCCAATCGAATTCTGTGGAACATCCAACTCAAGTACGCGAAACCAAGAACGTCTTCGTGGCATAGTTTTGCTCAGCCTTTTGCAAAAATGGCATCAAACGGTCGGTAAAAGGACGTGAATAAGCA